AGCCAGCAAGGGGAAGGGAGACAGCAGCAACGCACCTGTCTAGGAGGGAGGCAGAAGGTCGAGGGCACCAACGCATAGATGGGCACCAACGCATAGATGGACACCGAAAAAAACTGTCTTCTTCACAGCGTTTTGAGGGCCCAGATTTCTCTGTCTATAATACTGTCCACAGGTAGACGTTTACTCCCTCTACAGGAAACTAGATCTGTTAAGGCTCCGCCTAGCTTTCCCTTTGTAATCAACGTGCTCCCTCGCTAAGAGCCATACAGCATCTTTCATAACTCTGCATCTGGGCTGTAGCCAAAGGAAAGTAAACAGAGGTGAGCAGAGCATGAGGGACGCTTGCTGGGTCTGATTGGAGAGGAGGGTGGCCATGGGCTAGAATCCAGCATGTAGCCTGTCAGTGCAGGCTGGCTGCGGTCCCTGTGGAGTCAGTTAAGCTTTGTTTTGGGTGTTGTTGGCCTTTCGCTTCGTGCTTCTCTTCTGTGTCGCTCTCTATCAGATATTGTGACATCATCTCTCTTACAGCCACACTTGAAACTTTTTAAAAACTCTAATGTGTAAATGACTGTTAGCAGCTCAAAGAGAAGTAGAAATATACCCCAACTGGTGTGGTACCCCCTCGTGTCTTGGCAGGCATGGAAGTTACATCTTCCTTTCTTATATCAGTTTTGACCTCATGATTTTTTTTCAAAACAATGATCTGACAATAACTACAATTTAAAAAGAAATGCTAAGGATATTGAAACTCATTTACCATTCTGGGGCTAGAGTGTTTCTTTCACTCTAGTTGTAGTCATGAGAAACACCACAGGGATGGAGTTCTAATATAATTTCAGGTGATAAGTACATATGAAGAGAATATTTGCACGCAGAACTCTTTTTTAAGGCCTCTGTAATCCAGACTTCTACTCCATCTACATATGGAATTTGGCAAATAGTAAGTACTGAATAAAAGCTAGTTAGATAAATACATACATGACTTGTTTCCTAGTGACTAGATCATCAAAACATTCTTTCTTGCCGAAGGGTGTTGGTGACTATTGACTAGACCAGCTGCAGCATTCAAACAGAAATCAGAGTCTCAATAGATGACGCAGAAGCATGGAACCCAGAGTTGGACAGGACTTCTCTCTGTGCTCATTTGAAACTTGGCTCTGGCTGTGGTTTCTCTGTCACAGATTTTGGGGTGGGAGAGGGCTCCCACATAGAAAGCCGTGCGTGCTAACATGGAAACCGAATAGAACCTTGGCTGGGCTAGGAATCATTGCTATTTTAGTAACTTCCAGATGTCTGCTGTTGGGGTTTAAGAAAAGGAGAAAAATGCGTGGAGTGTGGTGGGCCGGCTGGGTGGAAGGGGAGGGGTGTTTCTCTTTTAAGTCTTTCAACTTCTGTTTAAAGCCACTCCTCAAGATGGATTGGATAAAGCTTTTTAAAACCGTGCTTTTCAGTAGTACTTCTTTCATTTATACTTGACTGCATGTGTAGTAACAGGCAAACTGAATAAATCTTTGTCAAATAATCTTGATTCTAAAAAACACAGGACCCTTACGACTTTGGATGTGATCTAACATTTATAAAGTGCCAGTCACTGAATGTATGTTGAATTGTACATGCACCAGATGAGCTAGCTGCCCCAGTAGCTGTTGTGCTAACCTAACAAGTTCACCAGATGCTCGTTAAATAGCTCCATTCTCCTTTCATGGTATTTTGGAGGAGTCTTTTAATCCTAATGCTGTCATTATGAATTAGAAAAAGATATCAGGTTGTAATGTTTATGAATATAGAGATGAGGCTCTCTGAAGTCTTTTCAAAAGGGGGACCTGGGTCTTTTCCAAGAGGTCCTGGAACCTCCAGGGACCAATCCAGGGTTATAGGCCAAGAGTCCCTGCTGAGGTGGTGGTTTCCTTGTCTTCGTTTTCCTGGGAAGGGGAGGCACTAGCATGATGCAAGGCCAGGGAAGTACAGGAGAAGCAGTAGAGTCCAGTGGTTACATATATAGCATTTGAATGGGATAGACCCAGTTCAAGTTCAGACTCCCTCACTTACTAGCTATGTGAACTTGAACAAGTTACTTCATATCTCTAAGGCTCAGTTTCTTCACCTGAGTTTGTCAGGGAAAGGTGTGTGTGTGTGTGTGTGTTAAGTAACAACCCCTCCCTGTGCAACCAGGTTGTGCACTAACCACAAATAAGGCAAAGGTGGAGGTCAACATGTCACCTTTATTATTGTTAAAGTAGATATTAAAGAATATGACTTCACAGCCACGCGTTTCTACCCAGCAGCCCTAGACCGGGCCGGGCCTCCCCTGCAGGGGCAGAGCACAGCATGTGCCGTCTCAGGAGGAGGAAGAGTGGAAGCCCACCTCGTGCCCATGCGTCCATCCATGCTCTGCTCTCAGACTGCTGCTTCTCCCTGGGGCTAGCACAAGTGGAGAGAGGCTGGGAGCTTTACGTTTATGGGTCTTCTGCACTTGGAAGAACACGTCAAGATCTGAGGAAAACTATTTCCCCTGACAGTAGCGAGTTCATTGGGTTCCTGTGAGGATTCTGGAGATGAAGTCAAGTTTTCAGCACATGCTAAGTGCTTAACAAAACATATTGATTGATATTATTATTACAACCATTATCACTAAGTGTCAGGACAATAGCAAGGAAATGAGGTAAGGGTCAGTTGCAGGGAATAACACAGGAGTTTGTAAAATAAATGCCTTATAGTTATGGGGAAAAAACAGTTCAGGATATCTTTAAACTAGACAAGGGGCCAAATGCCAGTACTTACCAGGTTTTGTTATTGTTCCCTGGGGACGAGGACTATTTTGAAGGTTCTGGACGGGTAGAATGAAATTGGATTTAAAATAGCTGAGAGGAAGCAGAGCCCTTACTTAGATGAATGTGAAAGAAGAAGATGTCGTGGAACCAAGTGCAAGGAAATACTCCCAGTGATTATTCTCCTGTGAGGATTCCTGGGTCTTGGGCCATTGGCTAATTTGGATCTAATTTCCTATCTTGGACATGAGATTAGCTCACTTGCTTCTCCTACTTGAGGTTTCTACTAGTTGTTTAACTTCGAATTTTCTTTGGGGGTTCGATTTATTTTTTCTAGAGCTGAAAACTGCAGATACAGGCAGATAATGTACAGGGGACCATTTTGGTTTTGATCTATACTTCTCCCATCCCATCCAGACTTTATTTAAGCCCATGAGCTCTTCCGAGATTTTCTGCAGATTTTTTCCCCCCAGCTAGTTCTTGCAGAGTTTTAAAAAATAAATTTCCTGCCCTGGCCAGTTTGGCTCAGTGGTTAGAGCATCAGCCTGCGGTCTGGAGAGACCCGGGTTCGGTTCCCGCTAAGGGTACGTACTTCGGTTGCAGTTTGTCCCCGGCCCTGGTTGGTCGTGCGGGTGGCAGCCACTCGATGTGTTCCTTCACATCGATGTCTCTCTCTCTCTCTCCCTCCCACTCTATCTGTACAAAAAATGGAAAAATGTCCTCGGGTGAGGATAAAAAAAAAATAAAAAAATAAAAAATAAATTTCCTGAAAGATTTGAAAGCAACAGTTTTTCCAGTTCTCTGTTGACCTCTGATTTGAGCTAGGCATAATTTTTGTTTAAGGCAATTTTCTAAATTACTTCTCTGAATTCTTCCCCTGTAAATGAACATCCAGGGCACTTCCTCCTCTTCCTCCTTTGCTTCCACCCTTTCCCATCTCACTTTCTCTCCTGCCTTCTTCAGCAGTGGGCTCCAAAGTCCCTGGCTTGGTATAAATGATGTTAAAGTCAGCCAATCAGATTTTCTAAGATTCAAGGGTGACTCAAGAGGAAGCAAGTTCCTGTCTCCTCACTTTACAAAGCGTAGTCACTTTAAGTTATTGCCAGAGAGATGAAGTCAGAGAGAAGCTCAGGAGTGGATCTATAGGAGTACAGAAACAATGCTTCCATGCTGAGAGTGAAAAACACTGTGAACAAGAGGAGAGGAAGATGAAAACACGGGGAAAGCAGCAGCATCAGAATACGCCAGTGTTCTGTGTGTCCCCCTCAGGAGGCTTTGGGAAGTGGTTATTCCAACCCCGGTGGGTCAGTTTCAGGAATACAGCATGAAGAAACATGCGTATGATAGGAGAATGCTGTCATAGTCGTGATGACTAGAAGGTTGTGCTGGTTGTTCCCCATGTTCCCTCACCTGTTCCTCGCCTGAGCTAAGACCCAGCTTCCGTGGTTTAGGAGAACCAATCCAACCATGGTCAGGTGGCTGGAAGTGGACACCTGCCATAACAATTTGAGGAAGCATGTTTCAGATCCTCCCCCCCAATATTAAGCAAGCTCTTAAAATGATAAATCTAATGACACCACGAACTGTACTTTTAATTGAATTTATTGGGGTGAAATTGGTTAGTAAAATCACATAGGTTTCAGGTGTACAATTCCAGAATGCATCATCTGCATGTTGGATTGTGTGATCACCATTCCAAATCAAGTCTCCTTCCATCACTATTTATCCCCCTTTGCCTTCTTCTAACTCCCCCAACCCCCTTCCCTTCTGGTAATCACCATGCTGTTGTCTGTGCCTATGAGTTTTTTTTGTTTGTTTTTGGGGTTTTTTTTTTTTTGCTTAATGTCTTCACCTTTATCACCCAGCTCCAGACCCCCCTCCTCTCTGACAGCTGAAAGTCTGCTCTCTGTCAATGAGTCTGTTCCTTCTTTTGTTTTGATGTTTCAAGCAATGGGTATTTCATGGTAATGGCACTACAGCTGAACAAACCTATATTTGATTAAAAATTGGGTCTATTTAGAAATCCCTGAATTTCGAGTAAACCAGAAACTGTCAATCAATGTGGCAGCTGAAACATCCACTCTGTGAAGCAAAACAATAGGGCTCATATCAGAGCCATCTCCCAAGTTTGAAAATTAACATCATTTTGTCATCCCTCTTACAAGTCCATCTTTTTGTTCTTTGAGTTGCTCTTTACAGCATCTGCTAAGTGGCTTTGTTATTGGATTTTAGGGCTTGGCGCAATATTCCGTCCTCTTTTATGGCTATTACGACAATAAGCGAACAATTGGATGGATGAATTTCAGGATGCCGCTCTCCTACTTTCTGGTGGGGATCATGTGCATTGGATACAGCTTTCTGGTTGTCCTTAAAGCGTAAGTTTCTGGCATCTTGGGAAGCAAGCAGTGATTTCTGGGTACAATCGACAGAATGGATATAATTTATTTTCCTGTTTTACGTTTAGAGGATGCAGAGTCTATGAGATAAAATGTTTTAGTACTGACACTCATGTTAGGCTATTATATCCTCCAAACAAAAGGGTTGGACACTAGTGCAAACCTTTGGGTTGTCTCACTGGGCGGCACTGGGAGCTGTGTGCCCATCCTGTGTTTAAGCGTATTTTTAAAATGTGCTCTTTGTACTTCAACATGTGAATTGATGTTGCAAACAAGACAGGGGAAACAGCTGCTGACCCCTCGTTCTGAGTACAGAGGTCTGTGACTTGCAGAATCAGTTCAATAGGCAGAATCTGTTGTTCTCCACTCTTTTTTTTTTTTAAGCCAGTATAATCACTCATCCAAAAAATTTCAGCTGCATAAAACAGCAAAAACAAATGGCCTCCAGCGAGTGCCATGATCAACTGCATCATCATAGTTTGTCTTAGCGAGGATTTATTAGAGCACGAGGAAGAATTTTCCTGGGAACTGATGGAACAGCAATTCATTTCTCCTCTGCCTGAAAGATACAGGGTGGGGTAAAGTAGGCTGACAGTTGTTTGTATAAAAAATAATGCAATAATTAATAAATCATAATGCAAGAATAAACTCCGTGTTTCGCATACTCACAACTGTAAACCTACATTTGCCCACCCTGTATTTGCAACACTCTGCCTAAAGACATTGCAGAAACCTAGCGCAGTTGTTCGAGGCAATGAGTAACCTATCCTTCAGCCAGTTCTCTGCACGAGCTTAGTGGAAGAGTTGAGACACCTCAATTAGTGTCCCAACCCTTTTATTTGACTCTGTACAGGGTGTTGGCCATTTGTTTCATTTCAGGGAAGGATCTCTGTCTGAAGGTCCAAGTCACCCTGAGCAGGACATCTCTGGAACAGTCTGTGACATGCTCTGGGTCTGGTCTCTGCCACAGTTACTGGTTCTGCCAAAGAACACTGTCATATTTAGTTTTTAAGCTCTTTCAGGACATGACAAAAGCCTTAATGAGACTTCCATCCTAAATATTTATCTACTGTCTAAGTGTAATGAGAGATCCTTAATATTAGATATCTATCTACCTGATACATTCCAAAATCTAAGGTATTTTCTAGTCTTTAACCATTTTGCTTTGGCAAGACTAAAGTAAAGGGTGCCAGTTACATGACTATTGTTTCTGTGTTGGTCCTTCAGTCTCCTTAGTCACCACGGAAGCAAGTTTGTGTATGTCCGTTACTCAGCTCCTTTCAGTGACTCTGCAGAGGCTGTGAATCCTGGCGGGCTTCCCACCCGGTCTGCATGGATTCAAATCTCCGTTCTGCCGTGTTCTAACAGGCCTCTGACAAATTGCACACATAGTCTGTTCTCTAGTTTCCCATCTTAATAGAGTTGTAACAACACCTTGGTCTTAGGATGGCCTTGAGGACTAAATGAGTTAATACATGAAAAGTACTGAGCACATATCTGGCTGATGGTAGGCAACTGATAAATGTTAATAATTTTGTTAACGATTATAATTCATAGGCTTATTGAAGCAGTCACCTATGGTTATGCAGTTGTACATTAGTGGATTAGTGTATTCATTACAATAACTTTCTGGTAAGTAAATTTAAAGGTTATAGAGCAGCATTCTGTAAAGAAATACAAGATGAACCATACATCTCACTTAAAATTTTTTAGTACCATATTAAACATATTACACAAACACAGGTAAAATTAATTTTGTTTTATTTATTTATTTTTATTCTTCATTAATATTTTTGAGAGAGAGGAAGGAAAGATAAACATCAACTTAATTAATTTTAATATATTTTATTTAACTTAACATATCAAATGTATGTTAAAATATAATTAAAATATAATTATTATTGAGTTTTTTTGGTACTCAGTCTTTGAAATCTTGTGCATATTTTATACTATCACATTTCAAGTGCCCAGTAACCAACCACATGCTGCTGGTGGTGACCTTATTGGATAATGCCAGCCTAGGGATATGGCAGTTTTTCTAATTAGTTTAAAGATGCCGTGGAGGATAGCTGCAAGGCACCGAATCCACATTTCCCCCCTAAAAGTCATTCTTATTATGCCAGTCAAAGGTCCCTCCCTCTGACTTGTACCTTTGGTTGTTTGTTACTTGATTTAAACTCACTGATATGTATAGCAAGATAGTTACAAAGCAATTCACAAGGCCTAGCTCGGGGAACAAGGCCTGGTAGAAAAAGAATTGATGAACATCTGTAACAAAAATAAATTAAGACAAAAGAAAAAGAAAAAATTGATGAGATATAAGTGATTGTGCAAAATCATGTATCATCTTCGCCCCCTCCTCCTTAGCCTAATGGAGTGTATTCTTGGAATAATCATGGGTGGCTTTATGAGCTACATTACTCAAATCAAGTCGAAGGGAATCTAGGTGTTCAAGTCAATTAGGCTACTGATGGACTTTGACATCTTGCCCATACTGTTTGTCTAGGCATCCTTATTTACAAAATGATGGCAAATACCTATTTTTAATTACTTAATAGGGAAACTGAAAGGCACCTTAATGAGATGCCTCTTGTTATCTTTTTTTATCCCAACAGGCTTTCCTAAGACTTTTACCTGTTGTAGAGTTTGTTGAGATTAGATATACTTCCTTTTCTGTTTGTGAGTCTGGCCATAATAGACTAAGCTAACAAACGAGCACTGAATACCTAAATAATGTGCATGTACAAGCCTCAAATAGTATTAAAAATGTTGTCCATATAGACTATCCTCTATATATTATAAACCTATATATATCATAATCCAACTTCAGCACACTCACATAAATATTTTTAAATTACGTAAAATTGAAATATATCTATTAACCCTTAAACATTACAAAGTAGGTATTAGTTTACTTATTTTATGGATGATAAAATAATATTAGAGATACTCAATGACCTGCTCACAGCCATTTGACTGTGGAACTTATTTAAACATAGATTTTTTTTTTTTTTTAGTTCAAAAGACGTTTTCTACCCAGTATACCTTGCCATCTCTTTGTATTGTGCTACTCCTTACCCAGGCTAATTTGTTTCAGCCATCAAATTTGGTTGTGCAGCCACTACTTATTTCTATTGGGTATATGAAGAAATTAAGTTAAGTTGTTTGATGATTTTATTAAGCTCAAATAGCCAGTAAATTTTACAACTGAGCTTTGAACACCATTCTCTAATTTCAGCACTTTCCCCATAGTCTCTGATGATAGTACATCTACGGTGATAAGGTCAAGGATCTGCCTCTATCTTGACCCGGGTTGCTGTTTTAATTCTATATTAAAATTGTTCCTTATTGCTTCTTGCCAAATTTCTTTGACGTTATATGAACTCCTGTGGTTAAAGGTTTTGTGAAAAAAAACATTAAACTTATCAAAACTATGTCTTACAAGACAAGATAATGTTAAAATGATGACCAACCTCACACATTTCTAAATAAATGATAATTTATTTTCTCCCTTTTACCTAGATGTTCAGTCCCTCTGTCCACTTTCTTTTCACTTCTTTTGTACCTGTTTGCCCAGACAGCTATTATTTTCCTAATATTCTGTCCAAAAGTCTGCTATGTCTCTTGACATCCTTCCATAGGATCCTAGCCTTAAAATTATCTTTCTTCCTCCTTCCAATTAAACCTTACTTTGCTGCAGGAATCTCTCTTAGCTAGCTGTCTTAGAGAAAAGCAGTCAGAATCCCTCATAGACTTAGTCTAATTGTTACTACTCCAATATTTTCAGTGGAGAAAGCAATGTTTGAAGTCTCTAGTGGTGGACTTCAGAGCCCACAGCAGGCTATGGAAGGGCTGGCCTACGAGGCGGAGAGTCCCAGCAAATCCCCCAATCCCATATGATTGTCTACTCTTCCTCAAACTATGGTTGGCCTTGTTTCAGAAATGCCAAGATTTCCTGCTTCAAGCAGGAAGGTGATGAGGTTTGAGGAACTTAAAGTCCCTTGTTCCATTTTACATTACTGCTTAATGGCTGCATATGAGATCATGAAATTTAACATGAAAAATACTCTTGTTGCAAGCATGGATTAGGAAGAGTGGTACCCTAGAATGAATGGCAACCATAGACGAAGTGAGATGATACAGTCAAATCCCATCATGATGACAAGGACAGAACTGGACAGCAATAGCATAACAAGCAGATGATGTTGTGCCATGCGAAAGCTGAGGGTTAGCGTAGCCTTTCTAACCTCTTCGGTACCTGCCCCCTTTCTTGCCAGGTCCCACATGCTTGATGTTCCCAGTCTGCCTGTCCAGCTTGAGCCCCCTTATCTGGGAGGCCAACTACAGCTACAGAATGTTGACAATGATCAACTTTTATTCAAATTGTATCTGTCAAACTTTCATTTTTATTTGAGGCCCAGTGCAAAGATAAAGGATGGCATCTTAATCAAAAAAATATTTCTCTCCCTAGGCTAAACCATGGAAAATGTTTAATTTCAACCCTTTTTGACCTCAGAGATGGCACTTGATGTGGTTCAGCATTTTGCCTGGTGTCCTAGGTTGAGCACCAGAGAGCAGTGGAAAACCTAAGCCCTTCCCTACCTCTGTGGCTTACTGCTGGATAATATACACCTCATGACCTTATAACTTTAATCCCCAGCTGTAAAAAGAGAACAGTATTAACTACTCTGAACTCTTGCTAAGTTTATGAGAAGGATAAATATAATAATACACATAAATGCCATTTGCAAAGGGTAAAGTAGAAGATTAATGTAAGGAATAATTACATTTAGTTATTTTTCGTAACACGTTTGTCCATTTAAGATATATAAACTTCCATAAGGGGTGGAGAGTGGGGGGATTTAGATGACTTTAGAGATGCCTGCCAGCCTCTGTTGTCAGCTTTCTGTCACTGTGCATCTTCCTTTTCTGTTCCATATCACTATAGTATTTAAAACACCAAAACCTGCTCGGTTGGTGTGGCTCAGTGGTTGAGCATCAACCCACGCACCAATAGGTCAGTGGTTCAATTCCCGGTCAGGGCACATGCCCAGGTTGTGGGCCGAATCCTCAGTGGGGGCCATGCAGGAGGCAGCCAATCAGTGTTCTCTCTCATCGATGTTTCTCTCTCTCTCTCTCCCATCCTCTCTTTCAAATTAATGAAGAAAAAAATTTTTTTAAACACCAAACCTTATGGAGCCATTTTATAATATGTATCATATGAAATCTCGTCTTTCCTATTTATAGTGATAAGGGAAATAAAGCATGTGGAGTAAGTAGAATATAGTTCTCTAACCATTGAAATAAACTGTTCAATCAAAAAAAATGTTTTTTAAAAAATCACTGATTAGAATATATATAACCACTTGGCATTGAGGTTATATGAAAATCTTGATTTTTTTGATCAAGACTTGTAGAGTATGGAGAAATTTCATGCATTCAGTATAATCACTTTTTGGGAAGAGACTGGGGGGAAACAAAAATATATGCAGTTATTTCCTGACCTGCCCTGGCTTAGCCCATCCTTAGGCTTCCGGGGGTCTGGGAGCCACCTGCAGTCGTGAAGAGCAGTGTCAGAGCCTACCACATTTTCTTTTCCTGGGGAGGGACCCAGTAGTTTTCCTCAGGTTTCTGAAGAGAGCCTTATCCCACAGAAAGTTAAGAGCCAAGTATATGAGACTAAGAGAACAGCTGAGGAGAACAAATAAAAAATATGTATTTTATATAATCTATTGAATTGTTAAAAATCATTAATGTCTACTAGCCTTTTAATCTTCAAAGCCTGAAAAATGTACTTTTACTCAAAGAATATATAAGAGACTTCTGATTCAAGGTGCCAATTATTATTTTTGTGTGTGTGTGTGTATGTGTGTGTGTGTGTGAAGCTAAAGGATTAAAACATTGCTTTATGATTAATTAGAATTAATTAAACTGAAATGAATAAATAAAAAAAATAGTGAATTTTAAAAAATGTCTTTTAGCTATTGAGTCTCCAATTTGCCTATAATTATGATGTTTTGACACCCCCTGCCTTCTCCCCCACTTTTTTTTTTTTTTTTTTTTTTGTATTCTTGTTGCTGGATTAAACTCCCTGTTTTTATAGGATGACCAAAAATATTGGTGACGATGGGGGTGGTGATGACAACACCTTCAACTTCAGCTGGAAGGTGTTCACCAGCTGGGACTACCTGATTGGCAATCCAGAAACCGCAGACAACAAGTTCAATTCTATCACAATGAACTTTAAGGTATAAACTCCAGCCAGGGTCTTTTCTTTGTGTTTCTAAAAGTAAAATTGGAGCTATTAAATATGTTCCAGCTAGCAAAGTATCTTGAAAGTTTAAAAAAAGAGGAACTCATCAATTCTGTCTACCAGGATCTGGTCAGGGTTCTGATTGTGACTGGAAAATATCTGATGACCCATGACAGCACTATTTCTTCTCTAAATTTGGTAATAAAACAATGTCCTTAAAATAGGACACCATTAGTCATCAGAATCAGATATTTTACATAATAGAGCAATGCTCAATATTTAAAATGACTTCGAAGTATTCTTTTGTAGCTTTAAAAAAATTGTACTGGAAGAGAATTTAGAATGAAGACTAGCCTATTCGATCAATCAGAGTGGGTCTATAAGAATTCCCCTTTTCTCTCACTTGCTGGCAATATTCACTGGTTTGTGCAATCCCAGATTTAGTTTGTTTTCATTCTTCACATTCTGATGTTTGCAAAATTAATTCCTGAGTTCATGATACTTTTGTAGCTCAAATATTTCTTTTTTCTTTTCTTTTTCTGGTTTTCCTGGGTAAAGGAAGCGATAATAGAAGAAAGAGCAGCCCAAGTAGAAGAAAACGTCCACTTGATCAGATTCCTGAGGTTTCTCGCTAACTTCTTCGTGTTTCTAACACTTGCTGGAAGTGGATACCTCATCTTTTGGGCTGTGAAGCGATCCCAGGAATTTGCGCAGCAAGATCCTGACACCCTTGGGTGGTGGGAAAAAAATGAAGTTCGTCTCTGCATGCTTTTTATGTGCTTAGAACCTAACATTTGAGATTTTGTGGGCGATGCTTCTATGGTGGAAGAGAAAATAAGTCCACTCTACCTATCCCCTCCATCCTGCCCTGTCCCACATTTTCCACTCTATTCCAGCCCTATTTGCAAACTGTCTACTGTGTCTGTTTTTCATTTTGGGACATTCTGGAAAGTTATAGTTGGAAGAGATATTAATACACATATATCCAAACCAATATATTTTACTAGTGGAGATGATGAATCTCAGAGATTAGGTGATGTGTTCGTGGTCACAGAACCACGGAGAAGAGTGAGAGTTAAAACCTAAGACTCTTGGTTTCAAACCCCATACTCTTTTCATGACCTTATGTTGATTTCTCTGTAGATCCTGCATCTGTCATTGAAAGATCCAACTGTTGCCTGAATTCTCTGAAGCAGTGATGATAAAGCCTTGGTCCCTGTGTTTATCTCACAGACACATTCAGGTTGCCTCCCCTACTATGGGCAACTCTGGGCTTTCTTCTGCTTTTCACTAGCAGCCTAACTCCCTGTCTCCATTTTCTCCTCCTCACCATATCCGCCCCTCCCCCCCCCCGAATGCTATTCAAATTAGGAAGGTTAGCTCTTTGCCAGGAATTAAATATTATGATTGTGATTTTTTCCCCACCAGCTCATCTGCCCATTTAGCAGGTCAAAGAAGGGGGGCCAGAGGTAGATATTTAGAATCAGGAAATCATTGATCATATGGTTTTGCTAAGGCCTGTTCCCTTTAATAAAATAATCCTGCATACAATGTGGCACCACTTAGTTTTTTCAAAGTTCCCACATGGAAATGTCTGCAGAGCCTTGTAGGCCAAAAAGATCAAGTCTTCATAAGTATAGAATCGCCTTTAAAACTTTTGGACAGAAAATGGTATAACTCACAACCAAAGATTCCAAACAGAAATATTCTGGGTATTTCAGAAGTGGTAACACTGGAAATGAAAGGCCACTCATTTAAGAGACTATTCTTTCTTATAGTTGTGATAGTATTTACAGGCAGAATTATCATGCCACTTTGGTCCAAGGTTCATATTGACCATATTTTTGTATAAACCACAGTAAAGAATGGCTCTTTGTAATACCCATTTTAGGGGACCCCTGAGTTCTAGGGGCCAACAAAGGTAATAATGGGGATTTATGAATAACTTTATAAATTTGATGAAACAGAATTAAATTTACTTTATATAAGAATACACAGGATCTGCCAAGTTTTTACTTTAACCTAAAATTATATCATGCTGATTTTTAGCCCCTGCTGGTCATGCATATATAATGTTCTTGATAAAAATGGAAAAATTGTATTGACAATTATTTTCTGAATATAGCCTGGTACTTCTAATCATTCAAAACATGGAGTCTGCTAGGGGGGATAGGAATGCTTAATGGTGACAGTTTGAACCATATATTTAGGAAAGATGGTTGCTAAAATAATCTGAAATCTTTTTATTTTATTTTTAATTTAAGGAAGACTTTTCCCCATCATAAAAGTAGTACCTGCTCTGGATTCTTTCCTTTGACTTAATTTAGCCATATGATATAATCACAAGAGTGCTAGTTAGTCAGAGGGGAAGGAGCACACATTTCCTACTTGTCCTATTTCTCTCTTTTTTCCTCCCTACCCTTCTCCCTCTTAGCATTCTCTTGCCTTTGACAACATGAACCAGTTCATCTTTTTGAAATGGTCTTGCCTTGGCTTCAACAACATCATGCTATGTGTTCTCATCTTGTTTCTATGAATGTTCTCTGTTTTTTGTTGTTGTTGTTGTTTTTTATAAAAACACATTCTTTTTTGTTTGTTTGTTTGCTCCTAATAGTTTATGTTTCCATTTAAGTTGAGTATTTAGTCCTGATCTCATCTCGAAGAATTCATTCATTCTAACTGATTAAACTAGTCCACATGCTGATAATTGTCAAGCTAGTATTTCCAGTTTGGACCTCATTCTTCAAGCAAGTCATTCTCCATATCCTTTGGAAATATGTGGTGTAGTGCATCACATTTGTGCATCACATATCAGAATCAGTTACCATGTAGAACAACAATGTGTTCTTTAACTACAGAGTGATGTACATTGCATCCTTCATTATACCAGGAAACATTATTATTACTGGCACATACACAAGCTCATATACAAATAGATCTTAAGAATGTGAGTTCTTATTGTCTTTGATGTTTTATTAAGATTTTGAATTTTTTAAATACATGAAATAATATCCTTTAGTCTAATAAAAGATCAAAGAAATCTAGCTGGAATCTTGTAAAATTCTAGAGGAAAGCAATAATAATTTCTAAAAGCCATTAACCTCATTTATCCTTTGTGTCTCCTTGTAGATGAACATGGTCATGTCCCTCCTGGGGATGTTCTGTCCAACATTGTTTGACTTGTTTGCTGAACTGGAAGACTACCATCCCCTCATTGCTCTGAAATGGCTACTGCTACGCATTTTTGCTCTTCTTTTAGGCAACTTGTATGTATTTATTCTTGCCTTGATGGATGAGATCAACAACAAGGTAAGTCTTGTGTCTGGATTGTCCTTACCATCAGCACATTGTTACATTCCCAGTCTCAAGATTGAAATCTTTTTTTGTTCTTGTTGCTGTGGTTTCTAGATTGAAGAGGAAAAACTAGTAAGGGTCAATATTACCATATGGGAAGCCAACTTGATCAAGACCTACAATGCAACACTCAGTGGAAATAGCACTGGGCCACCCTTTTTTGTGCATCCTGCAGATGTACCTCGAGGACCCTGCTGGGAAACAATGGTGGGACAGGTAATATCACAAACAAACAGAAGTACATGACAACTAACGCATTAAAAAAAGAGCAGAGTTGCCCTGGCCAGTTTGGCTTAGTGGGTTAGAGTATTGGCTGGCAGTATTCTTTTTAATGGCTGTGTAGTATTCCAGCTTTTATTTAATCTACTCATCTACTGATGGGCACTTGGGCTGTTTCCAGATCTTGGCTGTTGTAAACAATGCTGCAACAAACATTGGGGTGCATATATTCTTTCGAATTGGTGTTTTGGGATTCTTAGGATATATTCCTGGAAGTGGTATCATTGAGTCAAAAAGCATTTTTAATTTTTTGAGGAAACTCCATAATGTTTTCCACAGTGGCGGCACCAGTCTGCATTCCTACCAGCAGTGCACTAGGGTTTCCTTTTCTCCATGTCCTTGCCAGCACTTGCTGTTTGTTGATTTATTGATGGTAGGAAACTATTCTGGCAGGTATGAGGTAATATCTCATTGTGGTTTTAATTTGCCTTTCTCTGATAATGTGTGACATTGAGCATTTTTTCATATTTCTGTTACCCATTTGTATGTCCTCTTAGGAGAAGTCTCTATTCAGGCCCTTTGCCCATTTTTATATTGTATTATGTATCTTCCTTGTGTTGAGTTGTCTAAGTTTTTTTGTTTTATATATATATATTTTGGAGATTAACCCCTTATTCTATGTATCATTGGCACACATGTTCTCCCATACAGTGGGTTCCCTTTTCATTTTGTTGATGGTTACTCTTGCTGTGGAGAAGCTTTTTAGTTTGATATAATCCCATTTGTTTATTTTTTCCTCTATTTCTCTTGCCCTAGGTAGCATACTGGCAAAAATATTGCTACGAGAGATGTATGAGATTTTACTGCCTATATTTTCTCCTAGGATTTTTACAGTTTTGAGTCTAACATTTAAGTTTTTTTATCCATTTTGAGTTTATTCTTGTATATGATGTAAGTTACTAGTCTAGTTTCATTTTTTTGCTTGTACTTGTCCAATTTTTCCAACACCAATAATTGAAAAGACTATTCTTTCCCAATTGTATGTTCTTGCCTTCTTTATCAAATATTAATTGACCATATAAGCATGGGATGATTTCTGGGCTCTCGTTTCTGTTCTATTGATCTATATACCTGTTTTTATGCCAGTACCAGGCCATTTTGATTACAATAGCCTTATAGTATAGTTTTATATCAGGTATTGTGATACCTCCAACTTTGTTCTCTTTTTTCTAGATTGCTGAGGCTATTTGAGGTCTTTTTTGGTTCCATATAAGTTTTTGGAATATTCTAGATCTGTGAAATATGCCATTGGTATTTTAATACAAATTGTGTTAAAGGTATAGATTGCTTTGGATAGTATGAAAATTTTAATGATGTTAATTCTTTCAATCCATGAACATGGTATATGCTTCCACTTATTTGTATCTTCCTTAGTTTCTTTATTCAAAGCTCTATAATTTTCTTAGTACAGGTTTTTACTTCCTTGGTTAAACTTATTTCTAGGTACCTTATGTATTTTGTTGTAATAGTAAATGGGATTGTTTTCTTAGTTTCTCTTTCTGATAGTTCAACATTGGTGTATAGAAATGTCACCAATTTCCGGGTGTTAATTTTGTGTCCTGCTACTTTGCCAAATTCATTTATTAGATCTACTAGTTTTTTGGTGGACTCTTTAGGGTTTTCTATGTACAATATCATGTCATCTGCAAGTAGTGACAATTTTACTTCCACCTTTCCAATCTGGATGCCTTTCATTTCTTCTTCTTGTCTAATTGCTGTGGCCAGGACTTCCAGTACTATGTTTAATAAAAGTGGTGAAAGCAGACAACCCGGTCTTATCCTTGATCTGAAGGGCAATGCTTATAGTTTTTGTCCATTGAGTATGATGTTGACTGTGGGTCTGTCACATATGTCCTTTATTACATTGATGTATGTTCCCTCTATTCCCACTTTGCTGAGAGTTTTTATCATAAATGGGTGCTGGATTTTATCAAATGTTTTTTCTGAATCCATTGATTTGATGATGTGGTTTTTATCCTTTATTTTGTTTATGTGTTGTATCATATTTATTGATTTGTGGATATTGTACTGACCTTGCATCCCTGGAACAAATCCCACATAATCATGGTGTATGGCTTTTTAAAATGTATTGCTGGATCTTATTTGCTAATACTTTGTTGAGGATTTTATTTATTTATTTATTTTGTATTATTATTTTTTTAATCCTCACCCAAGGACATTTTTTTTTCCATTTTTTTGTTCAGACAGAGTGGGAGGGAGAGAGAGAGAGAAACATCAACGTGAAAGGGACATATCGAGTGGCTGCCACCTGCATGACCCAACCAGGGCCAGGGACAAACTGCAACCGAGGTACGCGCCCTTAGCGGGAACCGCACCCGGGTCTCTCTGGACTGCAGGCCAATGCTCTAACTGCTGAGCCAAACCAGCCAGGGCTTTGTTGAGGATTTTAGCAGAAAGCATTAGTCTTATAAACTAATATAATTTAAACATATATGAATATCATTGGATGTCCTCAGCCTAAATCAGATGCTCATTAAACTTAAGCCAATAAACTGATTTTACTTGTGGGGAAAAATACAAAAAATGTATATAGTACTAGAACATAACATTGACAGTTGAGTCCAAAAAGTATGGCATAATTAAGGATTCTATTTTACTTTATTTTTTAGCTTTTAGGGACCTGATAAATCCTTCTCTTTTTATTTACATGTTATTAAGTACTTAATTTTCAGACATGTACACTTCATACATGTTTATAGGAACATGTTATGTATGAAAAGCAATGAAATGAAAGCTGCCTGCACATAGTAGAGAGGTGCTTGAGATCCATACTGTGGTAGACAGATTAATCCCCCCTCAAATATGTCTGATTCCTAATTCCTGGAACCTGTTCATATGTTACCTTACATGGTAAAAAGGAGTTTGCTGCTGTGAATATGTCAAAGGCCTTGGGATAGAAAAAGTATCGTGGAGTATGTGGGTGGGCCTGATGAAATGACAAAGTGAGACAAGAGTGAAAGTCAGGATGACTAGAGGTGCCAGTGGAACCAGAGGCTGCAGTGATGCCTTTAGAGCTGGAGGAGGGGCTGTGAGCCAAGCAATGCAGGAGGCCCCCAGAAGCTGGAAAAGACAAGGAAGCAGATTTCTCCCTGATGCCTGCACCTTGGTGTTAGACTTCTGGCCTCCAGAAGTGGAAGAAAATATTTGTGTTGTTTTAAGTCACCAAGTTTGTGGTTATTTGTTAAGGCAGCAGGAGGAAGTGAATACACAGGACAACATAGGTTTCTATGTTTCAAGCTTCCTTGAAGCAGTCTTATCATGGTTTTCAACATGAGTCTGTTTGATCAGATCTAGGCTGCTTCCTAAATCTTCAACAGAAGTTGAGAGAAATAAAAAGAAAAGGAAAAAAGGAAGTATAGAGATGTTCCCTTATGTGCAGACTGGCATGAGGGCTAAGGAACTTATTCTTTACCAGGAACACACCTATTAAACAGGATTAATAGACTATAAAGAATAAGATTGGAGCCCTGGCCGGTTTGGCTCAGCGGTTAGAACATCCGCCCGCAGACCAGTGAGTCACGGGTTTTCAAAGGCACGTACCTTGGTTGCGGTTTGTCCCCGGCCCTGGTCGGGGTTGTGCAGGAGGCAACCAGTCGATGTGTCTCTTTCACATCGATGTTTCTCTCTCTCTCTCTCTCTCTTTCTCTCCTTCCCTCCCACTTTATCTGAAGATAAGAAACAAGGAATAAGATTGGAGCCCTGGTCGGTTTGGCTCAGTGGTTAAAGTATCAGCTGGCAGATTTAAGGGTCTTGGGTTTGATTCCTGGTCAAGGGCACGTGACTGGGTTGCAGGTTCAATCCCCGGCCCAGGTCCCATCATGCAGGAGGCAACCAATGATGTGTCTCTCTCACATCAATATTTCTGTGTCTTTCTCTCTCCTCCCCTCCCTTCCACTCTATCTAAAAATCAATGGAAAAATATCCTTGGGTGAGGTTTAACAACAACAAAAAGATTGGATCTACTCACTTCTTAGGAGGAGGTAGTGATTAATTAGACATGAATGCCCACTGCAATCTAAGAGAATACTTTTATTTCTGATAATGCAGCAGCATCTGTGATATTCCCACACACGCTGAATTAAAATAAAGGAAAAATCAGTTATTTAAGTCATCTTCTCTGGAGCTCCTGAACCATGCTGTTTGTGTCATGTTTTCTAAAAATACCCTGTTTGTAGTTCTCTCCTTTGCTTCATCATCTTTCCTTACTGCCATGTGTAGTTGGGTTTCTGTTTGACCTCACTTTTTCTAAAGGAGCATGGGGCACTCATGGGAGAGTCTGCAGGAGCTGCCAGGAAGGGGTTGTGGCTGTGAATGGGATGTTGATGAGGCAGGTGGAATCCATGGGGACAGAGAACACAGAGACATAGAAGCCCTGAGTGCTGGGAAGTTCTGGCCTTTAAGAGATCAATATCTATATTCACGCCCCTAGAAACTTTTCTTTTAGCCACTTAAAGGAAAAACATGACTCTAGAAGAATTAGTAAAGGCAGCTGTTTCGAATGTGATGTCAGAGATGCACTCCCCAAAGGCTCATTCATTGTCCTAGGAGAACATTCCAGATGTTCCCTCTTCTCCTCCTCCATGAATGTGCTCTGCTTTGTTTTTTTTCTCAAGGATACCGTAAAATCCCTTCGAATTAAATATAAGGTAATTTGTGACTTTTTATTTTTATTTATTTTTATCACTGCAGGGAATCTCAAGATATAGTCAGTCTCATCTCCAGTGGCATTTGATGGGTAGGCAGCAGAGCCATTCTTGGGAGACAAGAGCTATTTGAAGCTCTATACCAAGGTCTACATTTTAAGCCAGGAGAGAAAGTACCTCCTTGAATATTAAATTACCCTCTGAGATAAGTTGTATATTTTATAGATGAAGAGACTATGACTTAGAAAGGTAAAGCAATTTGCTGAAGATCTCAAAAGAAGTCAATGATTGGAGCACTGCAGAGTCTAATTAGAATCTGTGTCCTTGTCCATAGTGCTGAACTGGCCCCCAGAAACATGATTAGCAACAGCACATGCTCTCCAGACTCCTGCCGTGGAATATGGACTATCTGAGACCCTTTGTGATATCCCTTGCCTAATGCCTTCCCTTTACCTGCTAATGATCTTAGGTTTACTGATCAAAGCTGCCTAGACATTTTAACTAAATGTCATTGAATGTAAATTGTTAGGTGTGGAGCTCGGGGCTCAATAGGAAGCCTGTGTGGAGACCTTGCTCCCATCCTGACATACATGCTGGATCTGGGATTGGACAGTGTCCATTTTTTTTTAAATTTTCTTTCTTGTAAATCAGTGTATTGCTTCTATAATATAGAAATAAATATTTTTACATTTTAAATGATGTTTGAATCCTCTTATGCTATTTAATTGAAAGTTGGGACAATGCTTAGAAGAAAAGAATTGCAACCATTGGCGTGAGGGTTCTTAGGAGGTGGGGAGGATTTCAAAAGCAATCTGAACCTGTCTGTTGCCTGAGGAAGTCTTCCCAACCTGGCAGTGGAGACCTAAAAATATCCCTCCTAGCCTACCTCTAATTGATGCTGGTTATTAGAATCTGCACTCACATTGCCTGGGGGATGAAAAGGAGAACAAGAGTAGGAGAGAGAAAAGCTATAGCCAGAAATAACTGCAGAAATTTACTATCATTCGGTCACTCATTCCATATTTATTGAGTGCATTTAAGTGCCAGGGATTGTGCTAGATACTAGAGGTACAGCAGGAAACAAAGGCTGACCAGTTCACTGCCCTTGTGAAAATCACAATCTCTTGGCATTAAATCCACTAATTAAATAATTAAGCAAATGTTGCAAATTTACAATGGCAACAGGCACTACAAGAGTGAAATGCATAGAATCTGAGAACTTGTGATAGGGAAGTTTGCCTTGTCAGCGAAGTGAGAGAGACTTCCCTAAATCAGTGATGATGCAGTGATTATATATATATATATATATATATATATATATATATATATGCACAGATTGAGTCATGAGATGAGGTAAGAGGGATTGAGCAAAGACCACATGCAAAGGTCCTATAGCCTAAAGAAGTGTGGAGTATTAGGTTGAACGAAAGCCAGTGGGGTTGGAGTGGAGAAGACAGAGGGAAGAATATGAAGAGGTAGACAGGAGTCAGCTCATACAGAAACTCTCCAATTGTGTAGTAGCCTCACACTCTCTGGCCTATTTTTTTCTCTAGCTATTGCTGCAGCAGACAGTTGTATGCAGCTGTTACCTGACAGCATCTCAACTGAGCTGTACACATGTTCTTACCTCTACCCTAGAGATTCTGTGTGTCACCAAATGGAGCATCAATGTCCTATGGGTCCTTGCTAGACTAATGGGAATATTAACACTAGGACCATTTAAAGAGAGAAATACAAATTTTAATGCAGATAATATCTCAACAGGAATTTGTGCGGCTGACCGTCTCTGATGTTTTAACCACCTATGTCACAATCCTCATTGGGGATTTTCTCCGGGCATGTTTTGTAAGATTTTGCAATTACTGCTGGTGCTGGGATTTAGAATATGGATATGTAAGTATGATATTAATTTTTTCTCTTATAAGATCATTTTTTGTGGTTCATTGTTTACACACACTATGCAAAAAGAAGACATCTCAGAATTTAGAGGGTGGGTGTCAGTCCAGCAGTTCCCCCTTATCTGCAGAGAATACATCCCGAGACCCCCTGTGGATGCCTGAAACCACAGATAGTACCGGACCCTATTTGTATTATTTTTCTCCCTATACATAGACATCTTTTAATGTAAAAGAAGCACTTTATGGCTTCTTTATGGCACATCTGAATTGCCAGCATCACCACTCTTGTGTTTTGGGCCATTATTAAGTAAAAATGTTATTTGAACACAGGCACTGCAATACACGACAATTGATCTGATAACCAAGACGGCTCCTGAGTGACTAAAGGAGCATCTGCAGCGTGGACACACTGGGCAAAGTGCTGATCCACGTCCCCAGCAGGATGGAGCAGGGTGGTGCAAGATTTCATCACACTACTTAGAACAGCAGGCAATTTAAAACATATGAATTGTTTATTTCTGAAATTTTCCATTTAGTATATTTGAACTAGAGTTGACTGTAGATAACTAAAACTGTGGAAAGCAAAACTGCAGATAAGTGGGGGTTTGGGGAGACTACAGTAAATAAAGACCAATGAGTATGGTTTTAATGCAGAGGGAGTCAGACTTGACAGCTTACAGTATTCTCATAAATTAGCACAGGATGTATGAAGCAATGGGTGGTTAAACAGTAAATCTTGGACTCATGGTCAGCTCCTTCCCCTTGAAGCTTGCTGGCATTTCTAGAAACAGAGTAGGATGGATAGTGTCAACTGCTTATTCTATGAATTTCTTTGAATGCTACTAAATAAACTCCTAGACACTTATCATGGCTGGTCAGTGTGCAGTGCGTTGGGGAATAGAAGGATTTAATAAATATGGTGCTTCCTTCGTAAAGCTCGCAGTCTAAGAAGAGTTCAGCAGAGACAAGCAGGGGCTTTTGAGGAAGGCCAGGATGCTGGTAGGGCCCTGGCAAGTAGTGGAGCTGAATTCCAGCACATTGACTTCCTTTCCCATGACAACCGCACAGGTTTCTCTGAGCCCCACTGGTGCTGACTTCATCACCAGCTCATACTCTGCGCTCGGCCCTAGGTCACCCCACAAAGTTCAAAGGCAGCAGCAGAGCCCTTGTCACTACTCTGTGGTCTAACACACTCCAGGTGCTCATTTCTCTTTTGCAAATGAAACCATCATCTTGGGAAATATGACCTGGGGGGTCGTCGTACTCCTTTGCTTAAAATCCTCCTGTAGCTTTCTTAGAAGGAATTACAAATCCCTGTCTAGGACTTTCCATACCCTATATGAGTTGTTTCTTTTCTTTCTCTCTGAGCTTATCTCTTACTACTTTTGCTCTTTCTTTGTAAAGTCTACAAACTTTCGAATTCTTTCTTATGCTGAAACACAAGATAGTCCTTGCACATCCCAAGAATTTGGCATGGCTCATTTCTTCTTGTCATTAAGGACTCAGATAATATGTCACCTCCTTAGGGTTCTTCTCTGACTGTCCATTCTAATGCAGCCTACCAGACACTCTCAAGAAAATGTTTTATTTTATTCATATGATATATGGCCATTTGACATTTCCTTTTTGAAAGGTTCTTATTATCTGTCTCCCTCTGTTAGGATGAAAGCTGTGTGAAACAGAGGCCCTGCCCTCTATGTTTAGAACTATGCTTGTCACATGGCAAGCACTGGGTGTTGACTGATTGGTTCAATGTTGAACTTCCACATTCCAGCACCGCCAAGGCAACACCATCTACTGACGGAATTCTGCTTGCTTCTAGGCATGTGCCCATGGAATCAGCTCTGGCTTAGTATTCTTTTTGTTGTTGCTGTTAATCCTCACCCAAAGATATTTTTCCATTGATTTATTTTTTAGATAGAGTGGAAAGGAGGGAGGGAGAGAGAGGAGAGAAACATCAACATGAGAGAGACACATCAATTGGTTGCCTCCCATACAACCCTAACTGGGGCCAGGGATTGAACCTGCAACCCAGGTTGACTGGGTATCGAACCCAAGACCCTTCGTTCCACAGACTGACACTCTAACTGCTGAGCCAAACTGGCCACATCTGGCTTAGTATTCTTGAGCCAATGATGTTTCTCTTCTCTCTAGTGAAGGAATGTCTTTTATTGCTGACTTCCCTCTTGTCTCATGCCGGAAGTCTCAGAACAAGTCCTACATTAAGAACTGTTTTCAGGACTCTAGGCTAGATCCTCTGCCTTGCTCTCTGACTTTGAGATCATACCTTTTCTTAAGTCATCTCTGTCACATTCACTGAAAGTGGCTCTCGGATGAGCCAAAGCAGTTAGGTAATGCTCTTGGGTGAACGACAATGAGGTAATGCTGTATAGATCCAGGATGCTGTTGCGTGGCTTTCCCATTCCCTGCTATGAGGTATTCAGCTGGCTCGGTTTCATTTCTATTTTCTTTGCCTGATTCAGCTCTTCCAAAGCAGACATAAAAATTGCCTTGTTGTTGTTGTTGTTGTTAGACTATCACTTAGCTTATGTGCTTGCCTTTTATGCCTTCCCACTTTCGTCTTAAGTGCTAGAAAAGTTTGCTTTAAATGTGAAGTCAATACAACACGACATGGATGCATAAAAGCTATAATTAAATGGATAATTTATTATTCATTGAGTGCTGACAGTGCTCTTGAGTGAATACAAAGTACAGGAAAAAAGACAAATTCCTGTTTTAGGTCATAGAGAAAGAATTTTCTTCCGTGTTACTTTTGGAAAGCTCTTCAGAGGGAAGTTCAGCATGAAAACAAGGTTTACAACATAAGGGTTGAATGATAGATCTTTGATTTGGATCCAATTATCACTGGCCCACCAATTGAGCAACTTACACAATTGAATGCCTGGTAGGTGTGAAACATTATGAGCAAACCTCTGCGCTGGGTGCTAAGGAGATACAGAGGCAGAAAAGATGGAGGCTTGAGGAGAGGTTGCAAACTTGGTCCTGCAAGCTAGATTCAGCTTACAGATATTTTTTCCTTTGGTCTGCAGAGTGGTTTGTCTGTTTCTAATGAGCTAATATTTAAAAACTGGGAGGTTTGCATGGGAAAATATGGATTTATTGCTTTTCTTAAAGTATTGGAAGACCTGGAAATATTAGACCCATATTCCCACTCGGGAGAACTTGGCTAGAGCTGGAAAACCACACACTCTTGGTTTCATTCATTCACTGGTTTCTCACACTCTTCACTACTCTGTAATCTTGCAGGCTCCCATTGTCAGTACAATGGCAGAACATTGTACATGCCACAGGAGAGAGTTATATGACTTTGGGACGGGAAGGAAAAAGGTGACTAGACAGGCAGACATGACAAAGGAAGAGACATTTGAGCCAAGTCTTGAAGGATGATCAGCATTTTAAAAGATTGAGAAGGGCCCTGGCCGTTTTGGCTCAGCGGTTAGAGCGTCCGTCTGTGGTCCTGAGAGACCCGGGTTCGGTTCCCGCTGAGGGCACGTACCTCGGTTGCAGTTTGTCCCCGGCCCTGGTCGGTTGTGCGGGTGGCAGCCACTCGATGTGTTCCTTTCACGTCGATGTTTCTCTCTCTCTCTGTTCCTCTCTCTCCCTCCCACTGTACCTGGGCAAAAAATGGAAAAATGTCCTTGGGTGAGGATAAAAAATAAATAAATAAATAAATAAATAAATAAATAAATAAATAAAAATAAATAAATAAAAGATTGAGAAGGAAGGAGGTATTCTCTGAGGGACAGGTGTAAGACAGGGCCCTGCAGCTGGAAAACATGGGCAGTGTAGGCAGAGAACAAAAAATCTGGGAAGTCCAGTGTGTGTTGAATATGAAAATAAAAATCACACTGCCCTGGCCAGTTTTTCTCAGTGGTTAGAGCATTGGCCTGTGGTCCGAAGGGTTGCAGGTTCAATTTCAATAAAGGGCACGTATCTGGATTGTAGGTTCGATCCCTGGCCCCAGTCAGAGGCAGCCAATCAACATGTCTTTCTCATGTTGATGTTTCTCTATTTATCTATCTATCTATCTATCTATCTATCTATCTATCTATCTTTCTATCTTTCTATCATCTCTATTTCCCTCCCTCTCTTCTTCCCTCCCTCCCTTCCACTCTATCTAAAAATCAATGGAAAAAATATCCTCAGGTGAGGATTAAGAACAACAACAACAACAAAATCACAGGTAATCCCACCACTCATGACATTACTTATTTGGATTATTTGAATCACAAATTATTAACATTTATTTATAGGTAAATAAATACTGTATGTAGATTCATTATAGAGTTTTTTATAAACATATTTTAAATGTATATGCATATTATAAATGTATATTTTATATATTATTAGTGTATGTAAAATACATTTTTAAAAATATGTATTTTAGTTGCCTGCTTTTTTCACCTAACAGTGACTATTTCCTATGCTGTTAACTCTTCTTTTATGATATAGTTTTAAGTTTTTATTTATTTATTTATTTCCATTGATTTTTTAGAGAGAGAGGAAGGGAGTGAGAGATAGAAACATTGATATGAGAGAGAAACATTGATCAGCTGCCTCCTACATGCCCCCTACTGGGGATTGAGCCTGCAACCCAGGCATGTGCCCTGACCAGGAATTGAACTGGAACCTCTCAGTCCATGGGACAACACTCAATCCACTGAGCCACACCGGCCGGGCCTTGGACACAGTTTTTAAATGGTTGTGTGATATTCTGTATATGAATATACTATAATTATACACATAGCTGATCAGTGGTGGAGCTATGACTCAAACTCTATGTCTGATCAATTTCTAAGCCATCAATTAGATTTCCATCATGTTGATTTTCACTGTAATACTTAACCCTAGAAATGCCAAGGACTCTGTCACATCACGACTAATTTATGAGCCATTCTATGGCATTTATAATGTAAGGTGCTCCCAGGCTTACACAGGAGAATGGAGTTGGCAGGAGAGGTTGGGATATAGAATTAGAAGATAAACCGATGTTCCTAGCTAGTAAGAAGGTATTATTTAGCCATCCAGGAAGGTGGTATGATAAAGAATCAGCAAGAAGTCATGGGTATCCCTTGTGGGGATGAGAACATGGGGAAAGGGGCAGAGCAGGCTGGATTTGAAGTTCCACTTGCATATTGGACAGAATCTGTGTACAGCCAACTAAGATTAAAGTGCAAAGCCTTAAGGTGTTGAATCATCCTGGTAGATGAGGCAAGGATTTGTCCTAAATCAGTGCTTCTCAAATATGAGCATGCATCAGAATTCCCTGAAATAGGTGACAACTGGATTTCTGATTCTGGAGAAGGGTGTTGGGCCCGTGATTGTGCTCTCTGGTTCCGAGGTAAAGCTGCTGCCTCGGGTGTGGGGACCACACTGAGAAGTATGGCCTGAAGCCACGGGCAGGCCAGCCTGTGGCTCCTAAAGGAGTGGTTCCTGCTGTGGGGAGTGAGGTTTGTGTGGAGACAGTCAGGCAGGTTGTTGCAATAACAGAATTCTCTCTGAGGTCCTGAATTGCATTTCACAATATTCATAGGTTGATGATCTGCCCCAAATAACTAAACTTGTGGAGACACAGTGGGTTTTCCCAGGTTCTTTAGTCCAGTGAGCACCATATGTCTTTCCTCGGGGTAGATGACTGACTAGCCCATCACAAGCAAAGGCGTCTATAAACAATATAACTTCCAATTCCTTGACTATTGTGGCCCTCAGCCCAAAACCAAATGGGCTCCTCAGTTGCTGACCCCTAAAAATCTTATTAGTGACTTTATTATGCATATTTCATTGGAAACACTTATTATCTCAGATTTCAAGAAAACCTTTTTATTTCCCAAGCTTCATTTACCTTTAAGCTTTTTAGATTTTAGAGGCAATTAAACACACTGCAAATTGATTTACACTGACATCAAAATATTGCTTTAAAAATGTAAACTATAATATAATCTTATATGTTTAAAAAATCCACCTCTAAAAGAATAAGCATTGAATTTTACTATTCTGTGTGTGTGTGTGTGAGGGGGTGTTGCCTTCTTACATTTGTTTTATTTTTAGAGTGAGAGTTTCTGAGTTTAATGTCTACAGTACTTAATTCCATTTCTTTTTTTTTTTTAATAAATTATTTATTTATTTATTTTTGTTACAGATATTTTACCTTTTTTACCCTATTGGCACCCCCGACCCCCCCACCCCCCGCCTTAATTCCATTTCTAAGGAGTTTATAGAAAAGCCATTCTTTTATTGTTGTTGTTAATTCTTACCCTAGGATATTATTTTATTGATTTTTTTTTTTTTTTTTAGATAGAGTGGGAGGGAGGAAGGGGAGAGAGAGAAAGAGACAGAGAGAGAGAGACAGAGAGAGAGGTGGGAGAGACACATCAATTAGTTGCCTCCCGCAGGACCCTGACTGGGTCCAGGGATTAAACCTGCAACCTAGGTACGTGCCCTTGACCGGGAATCGAATCCTCGACCCTTCAGTCTGAGGCTGCCATAGAAAAGCAGTTCTTGAATAACCAGGTATAATTTTGAAACAATTACATATTTTAGATCAGAAAGGGATTTTAGAAATTATTTCGTTTAGAAGTCAGCAAATTTCTCTATAAAGGGCTGGATAGTGTTGTGCTTCTGCAGGTGTGATATGGTGATATAAGGAGAAATATCTATTTTGGTCTTTATTCCAGGATTCTGGCACAGAACCCCTAATGCCTTTGTGACTTTCTGAGCAGTAGAGGTGCTAGGAACAGTTTTTGTTCTAACGTTTGGCCTTTGACCCTGGTCCCTGACACAGAGCTCCTACATTCCTTGGAATTTCTTGGGTGATAGGAACATTTTTTGTTCTAATGAAGCAACTCTTGGCGGTTTTGGATAGCTTCAGGATGGGGGCTGGTCACCAGAAAGTCCAAGCCATGATTAGAAGCTTAAAACATTCATTCTCTTCCCCCATCCTCCAGATACGGCTCAGGGGCCACAGGGTGCCAACCGCTAATCTAATTTGTTCCATCACCTTATCTCTGAGGAAACTGAGGCCTGAAGACATTAGTGACTGGGCCAGTTCACCCAGCTAGGAGATGGTAGGGCAGAGTCTTGTACTCAGATCTGCATCCCTGTCAAGTATCTGTGCCACAAAACCACCTATAACGGGGGGGGGGGGGGGCTGCCCTCTCCCCGTTGTCTGCAGCGGGTCAATTTACACATCAGAGCTTTTATTCCTCCAGCAGCCCTGCTGCATACGGGGGCAGAGGTTCCCTGTGTGTCCTTTCAGCTTTTCTAGTCAGTCACCTGGTAACAAAAATATCACAGCTCAGTGACCTTTCAGAGGTTTGCATGCTCATGAGAATAAAGGGAAGGCAGTTCTGAAGGTTGGACGTTTTTGTTTTCTGCAGTTTAGTGGGCTACACCATGACACTCTGCTAAGAGGCCAAGGTTGAAGGTTGGATTTTGGAACTGCCACAGAGCAGCTGCTCTAAGGCCACCCAGCGGAGCGTTTGTCAAATGTGTTCTGTGATCTCACGGGGCTCCAGGAGAGGAGGATGTATGGTCCAGAGCAAAGTGCTCTCGGGGAAGGAGAAAGACCCAGAATGAATGTTTTTCGTGATTGGAAGCAATTTATTTCTCTCCATGAGGGCCTCATTTTTTTCATTGCTGATTTTAAGACAAAAACTATCAACAAAATTTCTCTCTCTCTCTCTTTTTTCCCCCATCTTATAAACGTTATGGTTCTAGATAATCACCAAATGAGTATAGCACTTTGTATATATTTTAGCAGTATCTTGAGCGAATTTATGTTGAAATCATCCAGGTCATCTTTGTCATGCCCAATAGAATAGGGCTACATATTATTTCACTCTGTATCATTTTATCCTGTTATTTCACCATCCTTGCCATATCATTCTTGCTGTTTATTCCCGGGATCTGTTTACAAGGCACATTGCCCGTATCTGTCAGTTGGCTGCCTTTTGGGAAAGTGAGGAAGCTGACCTGGGTTCAAGAATTCTTGAGCAAAGCACCCGAATGTTGTGAGAATTTTGTTGGAGTTCCAATTCAGAGACCTGTTCTATCTTCTACAAATACATGTTTGGGTTCTTGGGTTGGGGAAGAACAGAGACACTCTCAGGTGGGGTGTGTGTGTGTGTGTGTGTGTGTGCTGGGGAGGGAGTCGTTATGAGGATACATATATATGGTCTGAAGTCACACGTACAGATACCAGGATCTGGGGCTGAGAGTGACCTGACACTCTCTCGGTCTCTCTGTCATGGTCCCTTGGTCCTCTCACTTCCTATCTTTTTGCTGTTCTCTTTTTCTCTTGTTACCAATTACTCAGTGTCCTGCATGACTGTTCTCTAGTTTAAATTAAGTAGAAGCAACTTTATTGCCTTTGCTAATTAGCGTTAACCCCGTTGATGGAAGCTTTCCTTCTAGCCTAATGTCACTAGGAAGCCTTTGGATGGGTCACCCTAGGACCTAGCTCAGCGCCCATCGGTGACCCCTCTGCACAAACAGCAGCCTGGTCCTGCTGTCCTTAGGGTGGCATTAACTAGGCGACAAACACTCCACGCGAAGTTAAAGAACTTCTTTCACTTTTGTTGTATTTCTCTATATTTATTTTATTGTAAAAGAGATTCACATACTTTTGTTGAAAAATATTTTACAATATACAAAACTTGAAGAAAATAAAAGCCATTACCCATCACCAACATGAGCTAGCCATTAATTTTGGCGAGTACTTTCAAGTCTTTTCTTTATGCATAGTTCCATAATAAGTTGATAAAAGCAATGAATGTATAATTTTAAATATTTTTGTTTAACATTAAAATATAGTTTTCTGTATGTAAATAATCTTCCAACACTGATGGGATTAGCTGCAATATATATTATAGTATAGATATATTGTGTTAACTGGTATTAGATATTTAGATGGCTTCATCTCTGCTCGTTTACATTTTTTCAACATTTAAAATTACTCTGTTGAAACAAATTCCGAGAAGTAGACTTAACAGGGTCAACAAAAATGAGGTTAAAAAAAATTTTTTTTTTCTTTATTGACTTGAGAGAGAGGAAGGGAGAGGGAGAGAGACAGAAACATTGATGAGAAGGAACATTGATTGGCCGCCTCCTGCATGCCCCCCACTGGGGATCAGGTCCACAACCTGGGCATGTGCCCTGACTGGGAATCGAACCAGTGACCTCTTGGTGCATGGGTTGACGCTCAACCACTGAGCCACACAGGCCAGGCAAGAATGAGGTTTTTAAAGCTTTAAGTTGGTATCATCAAATTGTTTTTCTAGAAGTCTGCTCTGGTATTACTTCACCAGCAGTGTATGAGAGCTCATCTCACCACACTTGAGCAGCATTGGATGACAACATTGTAAAATGAGTCTCACAGTCTTTAAAGGGTGTTTATTATTTTATTTATTGCTAACCATGTGTTATAAGGATTATTTCGCTATTGTTGCTGCAAGAAAGTAGTGGAGAGCTTAGCCACACCTATGCACAAGCATGGAACACTTGCCTTTCAATATTCACCACTGAGATACTAACCCAATGAACGTCTGTGTCTCTTCTAGCCCTCGTACACCGAATTCGACATCAGTGGCAACGTCCTCGCTCTGATCTTCAACCAAGGCATGATCTGGTAGGCCAGCTGTTCGATAATCTGCCTCTTTTTGAAAAGCCTCCAAGATCATTATTGCATAAAGCCCTGTAGCCCAGTGTCAGAGACCACAACCAGTGTCTGACAACAGTCGCCTTTGCAGAATGGATGGCGATGAATAGTTTGCTTGTTTCTTTTTCAAATCTTCCGTCTTGGTCCTCAAAGGCTTCTGCCTGTTTTTCAGAGCACTCCCTCATCAAACGATGGGCATCTACGTTCTGGTTGGTAGATTATTTGAAGGTGGTTTATATTTTATATCCTGTGACACTAGGCTCTAACAGTAATGATCACATTACGATGTGTTAAGTATGAAATAAATTAATGTAAGGTCTTTCTGAGAAACTGATTTTATCTTGTCATCACTATGGAATACATTTAAAATATAACTTATAGCTATTTTTAAAAATAGTTTCTTACCAAATCCAATAATTGAAAGAGATGAAGCACGTGTTTTAGGAAGGTCAAGTTAAAAATATGATCGTTATTTTGGACCTTGTTTCGCAGGGCCATTTGCACATCACAATTATTCCTTTTGATGTACAAAGGATTGTCACATCTTTTATTAAATGAAAGCATTCTCCCTGTAAACCTTGACAGGTTAAGATGAATTGATACAATCTAAACCGTTTTTGAGTGTAAAAATTGAATCATAGCATGCATTTCATCTGGGGACCATGTGCCTTGGAAATCTGTCACCCTAACTAAGAGCACACCAACCCACAAGCAACTACAATTGAGCTTCTTTATCCTGTTGATACATGTCTAATATAATACTGTGCCACTGATCACACCACTGTCCTAAGAACAAGTACTAGTGACTGGCTCGGTTTTTGCACAAGCACCTCGTATGTTACTCCCATCTTTCTACCATAGCTGGCCTAAATTATTAAACCTTTGTGAGGCTGGACCTCTCTGCAAATGTTAAAATTATTTTGCTTGAGCAATATAAATACCATAGTCAAGGATGCCATTGTGCCACCATGGGCCAGTCAAATTCCTGGGCCTCATTATATCAATGTGAAGAAAAGATTATGTTCTCCATTGTCAGGTGTATTTTTATTTATCTATGTATTTATATATTTTTTATTTTTAATGTATCTTTATTGTTGAAAGTATTACAGATACCGCCCCCCCTCCCCGCATTGACTTCCTTCTCCCTACCCTCCCTTCACCACACTATGATCAATGTCCATTGCTTATGCATATATGCATATGAATTGTTTGGTTTATCTCTTCTCTTTCCCTTCATTCCCTCTGAGGTTTGTCAGTCTGTTTCCTGCTTCCATGTCTCTGTATCTGTGTTGTTCATAAGTTTATTTTGTTCATTAGATTCCCCATATAAGTGAGATCACATGATACTTGTCTTTCTCTGACTGGCTTAGTTTGCTTAGCATAATACTCTCCAGGTCCCTCCATGTCATCTCAAAGGGTAAGAGAGCCTTCTTTCTTACAGCTGCATAATATTTCATTGTGTATATGTACTGAAGCTTTTTTACCACTCATCTACTGGTGAGCACTTGGGCTGTTTCCAGATCTTACCTATTGTAAATAGTGCTGCTATGAACATAGGGGTGCATATATTCTTTCTGATGAGTGTTTCAGGATTGTTAGGATAGATATCTAACAGTGGCGTCACTGGGTCAAATGGCAGTTCCATTTTTAATTTTCTGAGGTAACACCATATTATTTTCCATCGTGGCTACACCAGTCTGCATTCCCACCAGCAGTGTACTAGAGTGCCCTTTTCTCCACACCCTCGCCAACACTTGTTGTTTGATGACTTGTTGATGGCGGCCATTCTGACAGGTGTGACGTGATACCTGCACTGCATCTCTCCGATGAGTAGTGATCTGGAGCATTTTTTTCATATGTCTCTTGCCATTTGTATGTTCTCTTTGGAGAAGTGTGTATTCAGGTCCTCTGTCCATTTTTTAATTGGATTGTTTGTATTTCTTTTGTTGAGTTGTATGAGTACTTTATATATTTTGGATATTAACCCCTTATTTGATGTTTCATTGGCAAATACATTCTCCTATACAGTAGGTTCCCTTTTCATTTTGATTCTGGTTTCTCTTGCTGTGCATAAATTTTAAGGTGTATTTTTTTTTTAAATCAGATGTATTTTAAAATGTACTTCTTTGCTAAATTTGCAAGTTATGGCACATGTGTTCAGAGAGTCAGGAAGGTGTGAAATGCATCCTCTATTCTTCAAGCAGGGAGGAAAGTCAAGGTGACACAACGTGTGACTACCAACAGAGAGCAGCTTCTGTGGGTTCCGGATCTCTCATTTCCTGGAGAGGATTCTGGTACCATGACAGAAATAATGGCCAATATTGCTACCAAAGGAATGAGAAGGCACTGTGTTTTCTCAGTTTTCAAACTCCTGGCTCTTACAGTTTTCGGAAATCCCTCAGGCCTGGGGGGTATCCTTTGTGCAGATAGATGCTGCATGTCTCCTTCCTGTTTTTCCAGAATTTAGACAACAGAATTCCCTAGAAATTCCTCTTCATTACCCAAAAAGCTTTTGTAATGGCTGTCCTGATTGGTTTCACTTGCAATTTTACAACTGTTTCTATATATCACTAGTGTTCATATTAATGTTCTCAAATGTCTAAATCTCCAGTTTTCTCGTGGGTGGATCCATCATCAAAATCTCTGCAGTATAGCCCTGGCCAGTTTGGCTCAGCGGTTAGAGCGTCGGCCTGCGGTCTGGAGAGACCCGGGTTCGGTTCCCGCTAAGGGCGCGTACTTCGGTTGCAGTTTGTCCCCGGCCCTGGTTGGTCGTGCGGGTGGCAGCCACTCGATGTGTCCCTTCACGTCGATGTTTCTCTCTCTCTCCCTTCCTCTCTCTCCCTCCCACTCTATCTGTACAAAAAATGGAAAAATATCCTCGAGTGAGGATAAAAAAAAAAAAAAACCTCTGCAGTATCATTGCACTGTCACTTTCTGTGTGTTCATCCTTCAGCTATGAATCAAGTCTTGCTTCTGATGAGTCTGAAGAGGGCTTTAGAAAGTGCTTTCTGAGTGTACAGAGACTAGTACACACCAGAGTTCCAGGAGCAAAAGAACTATATTCACCTTCAGGTCAACTGTACACAAATTCTCTTTTCCTAACTCCCAGGAAGTTGGTGAGTGAAGGGTGTGGAGTGTGTCATCTAACCTTAGTCCACTCTCCTGCGCAAAGCCAGTCACACATTTCATGCGGCAGGAGGTTCTGATAACTGAGTTTGACCATTTGCTACAGAAACAATCAAAAGAGTATGGGGATTTTGTACCCAGTTCCATCACTTTGTGACTGGAGACATTCATTTTCTGCTTTAGGAGTTTCCAAGTAATGGAGGTTACATTGGTGTTATTGAAGTCAAACATTTATAAGTAAAAATCTGTTCTGTTACAAATTGGATGTAATGATCAACAAATCTTTATATTCCACATTTTTTTTTTTTTTTTTAGCCTCACCCAAGGACATTTTTGCATTTATCTTCAGATAGAGTGGGAGGGAGACAGGGAGGGAGAGAGAGAGAGAAACATCCATGCAAGAAAGACACATCGACTGGTTGCCACCCACACGACCCCAACCAGGGCCGGAGACGAACTGCAACGGAGGTATGTGCCCTTAGCGGGAACCGAACCCAGGACTCTATGGTCCCCGGGCCGACGCTCTAACCACTGAGCAAAACTGGCCAGGGCTACACATTTATTTTTGAAGTAGGCAGCATAGGCTTTTGTCATCATAGTTTTAAATGACGAAAGCACAAATTGTCTCTGTTGCAGCAGGATGTAGAGGCGGCAGTGAACACATGGTGAGAAGATGGGTTTGGACATTGCTCCAACACTGTCTCGTTGCATGCCCCCCCGCCAATCTTATCACCTCATTTTCTCAGTTGATCACACGTGAATAATTTGCCTGACATGTACCATGTCACTGGAGTCATAAGAAGAGCTAAATAAAGGAAGCTTTCATTTGCTTTGATCTCCTCAGAAGAAAAGCATTTTATCAGGCTAAGGTATTACAGTGATCTTTGCCTGACAGATGATGGGATCAAGTCTGGGCGAGGGACTTAGTGAGCCAAGCTGATTAGTGAGTCATGAACAAAGACAGGGCGAGCATTAAGGTTCAGATATCACTGTGCCAGGACCTGTTTTTCTAAGTTATAGCTCTTGTGATGTTCAAAATATCTATGTAATACTCATTTGGAAAAATTTTAATTTATCTATCTATAGATGCACATACATATAATAAGTGTGTACATATATATGCATACAGACAAATGATACACCTATATGTATAGGTGTAAATATATGTAATTCTAGGCAAAGTTTGGTCTTGAATTATGTACAAAAGTGTATCCTAGAATAGACTAGGTTGTGCAGCAATGAAACACAGACCCCAAAATTAGACTCTGTAAATCTATCATGGGTTGATAGAGGGCTCCCCTCTTGACAGTCGCCCTTACTTTGGAGGCCTAGCCAGGCAGAATAGGAGCCACCTGGAGTATTGCTGCTCAGAGTAGTAGAGAGAACAGAGCAAAAGTCACATAGGCTGTTAGTGTTTCCACTCATCAGTGAGATACCTCACTTTTATTTCTATATTTTTGGCCACGAAAAAAATCACACCGACTTTTAGAAGGGCCAGAGCCACAATTTTCAACCTTTTCCATCTCCTGGTATACATAAATCAATACTAAAATTCTGCGGCTCATCCAAAAATATACCATTTTGCTAATCTGACAAAAAATAGGTATAATTTTAATTTATTCACCAAAAATGGTTATTGTGTTGGCTGTTGTCTTTTTTTTTTTTTTGACGATCTAAGGGAAAAGTGGTCAGTGCCCCTGACTAGATAGTCAGATACTGCATGTTCTATAAATTCTTGCAGGACACCGCTTGAAAATCTCTAGGCTAGAGCATCATCCACAAGCACATCTCATTACAGATATTAGCCTTTGGGAATATTATCTAGTGCTTTGTAATTCTGATCCCTCAGCTAGACCTGTCACTTGCTCCCTTGCTCATGTTATTGGGGTTCCAGGTTCTCTCTAGCTATTCTGTAACCAAGATACGCTGTGTTGTTACAAAGTTTATTCTCTCATCTTTTTAAAATTAATAAAGTTTATACCTTAGGGAAGTCCTAGCTTCACAGCAAAACGAGTAGAAAGTGCACATCCTTCTCTACCCTTTGCCCTCACACACCCACAGCCTCCCCATCATCGACATCACCCACCAGAGAGCTGCATTTGTTACAACTCGGGAACCTACATGGACCCCAAATCCATGCCATTTTTTAAGAAACAGTTTAACTTCCTACAAAGTCTCTTGTCAATTTCGTATGTTAAAATATCATTCATCTGTTAGGTGGAATCCTATCAACAAGACAATCTGAATTGCGATGAGATTGTACTTTTCAATGAAATGGTTTAATATTGGGTTGCACAAGTTCAATTATAGCAGAAACTGATTTCTTCGTCTAACTCAACTTCCCTCCCCCAAATAAATTTACATTGGATTGGTCAAAATGCTAATCCTAACCAGAAATGTGGAGGTCTTTATTATAGTTGGGACAGTTTTACAAAAAAACAGAACTCTGCTTAAGCTTCTAACATAAGTCACTTCTAAAGCCTCCTTTGGGTTTTGGACTAATTAATTGTTATTAATATGGTCTATGGTGGTAATGGATTTTCTCGTCCAAAAAAAATAAAATTTATTTTGTTGCAATAACCAATGAAGTCATCAAGTAAGAATGACCTCACCTAAGTGGTTCTTGTTTAAAAATGGCATTTTAAAATACTTTTAAAAAATCTCATGTACAAAGCAGTGGATTTTCAGGACAAGCTGAAGTGAAAATGTAAATAACATACTAAGTTAAATGGATGTGTTGAGTTTTCTCAAAAGCTCAGAAAGCTTGCTATAGATTATCAATGAAACACAGCATATTAGACACAGATACATCATTCCCATCGGCTCTAAAACACCACGGCAGCCACAAATAAAAAACAGCATCAGAAAAGGAAAAATTTAATCATTTCTCTTTCATTAAACAAAAATCTATTAGCCATGACAAAAGCAATTAATCCAAATGTGCAGTTTATTTGAATAGAATGAGTGCTTTTAAGAGTCAGTTTATTAAAAAGTTAAATTTTTGTCTATATTAATCAATGATATGAGTATTAGGAGAAATTAAGTTTATTTCAGAAGGAGACGACAGAAGAAAAACAAATGTAACACAATTACATTTATAAATAATACAAATAAAAAATATATAATTTGCTCTGTTGTAATGTAAAGTTACTAATGATAGTAGATATGATTAGTGATCTACATAATTTCTGCGAAGGAATTATGTATACAAGACCTACAATAATGGGGGAGATGGTAAAATGTGTATAGAAGATGGAACTAGATTACTTAGATGTATTTATATAAAGGGCTTCTGTGGTTGAGAGTGGTAATACAATTCCTGCCTTTGGCAAATAAGCATGATGTGAAACAAACAGGTGCTATATGACCTTGTTCTGAAGTGAAGACTTAAACTGACCAGAGCTCTGTCTTCCTTTCCAGGATGGGCTCTTTCTTTGCTCCCAGCCTCCCAGGCATCAATATCCTTCGACTTCATACATCCATGTACTTCCAGTGCTGGGCTGTGATGTGTTGCAACGTTCCTGAGGCCAGAGTCTTCAAAGCTTCCAGATCGAATAATTTCTACCTGGGCATGCTCTTGCTCATCCTCTTCCTGTCCACCATGCCCGTCCTGTACATGATCGTGTCCCTCCCACCATCTTTTGACTGTGGCCCTTTCAGGTTCTTGTCTTTAAATTCCATTTGGGCATAGTTTTCTTTCAGGCCTGGAGATAGAAACAGTCAATCATTGTACGAGTTATTTTTGTTTATTCAAACGATGACATTTTGGCACGTAGGAATGAAGTCCTTTGGGTATTCAGGCTCATTCTGTGTAGATTCTTAGGCAAATTCCATCTATTTTCTCATTTGGGAATCATAAAAGGGAAAATAATTTAACTGCTCCAGGCTCTGCCTGGGTAAAATATGGACAATCAATCTGAGCTATTTCCATATAAGGAGACAGCAAAGAGCTGGTCTGGATGTGAACGTTTTCCTGATGCTAGAACTTCACATCCAGACATCTGAAGCTATTGCCGTGTCTCCTGTGGACCACCAAACTGAAATAATAAAATACAAAAATAAATATAGTGGATGACCCCTCATGCTACCTAGGACCTGGAATAGTTATTAGATAATAATATAAAGAGAGTCTCACAATTTATAATCCAAAATGCTACCTGCCAATAAAACATTAAAGCTGTTGGTCACATATATTCTCCCTAAATAACAAGGGTAGTTCACTCAAGCAGTTATAAAGAGTCAAAAAGGCTCTTAGAACCAAGTTGGAAATGCACCTTCTGCAGTTCTCTATGGCACAGTTCTCTCTCTCACACTTATCAAGACCAAAAAGTCCCCAGGACCTGGAAGACTGAGATTTCGTTCCATAAAGGAATGAAGCTACCACGAGTTTCCCCTCAAATCTCACGTTGAGTCACTGGGCAGCATATACTTGAGTTATTTCTCCTTTTCAGTGAAGAAAATATGAATGTGAAAAGCTGTGTGAATGACAATCGTGATGCCATAAGGGTCACATAAAATTTCCCCATCACACTGTCAGACCCAGCTTACTAAGTTAAAGTCAAAAGGTTTGTTGCTCATTGACTTATGTGTAAAAAAGGCATTTTCACTCTAATAATAGTATGAGTTGTTATTTCTTTACTGGAAAAGAAAAAAAAAAAGTTAAGCCAGGAGATAGAGCAAAAACAGCTGAATTCTGTCAATTCAGGGATCTCATATTGACAAGTTTTGTCCATCCCCCCCTCCCTAAAGCTGAAATAAATAATGCAGAGAGTGACATCTGGAGACTAAACGTGAAATTGCAGTCTTGAAGGGAGAGATTGGTCTGAATAAATCCTGGATAAATGTCAGAGTACAAAGTTCAAGAGATAAGCCATGCAAAGACTTCATTTAACTGCAAATTACCCACACAACTAAATATCCAGGATAAGTTTTAGGTGTGCTGTTAACTTTTTAATTGGATATTGGTCCTTCTCTGAAAAACATATCAAAGGAACTTAGCTGTCTACAAGGGAAACCCCACAATGTCAACATGTAACTGGGTAGTGATTATACAGGTACATTCACATTAAAAATATCATTGAGCCCTGGCCGGTTTGGCTCAGCGGTTAGAGCGTCGGCCTGCGGTCCGGAGAGAACCGGGTTCGGTTTCCGCTAAGGGCACGTACCTCGGTTGCAGTTTGTCCCCGGCCCTGGTCGGTCGTGTGGGTGGCAACCACTCGATGTGTCGCTTTCACGTCGATGTTTCTCTCTCTCTCTCTCTCCCTCCCACTCTACCTGAACAAAATATCGAAAAAATGTCCTTGGGGTGAGGATTAAAAAAAAAAAAAAAAAAAAAATATCATTGAGCTACCCTGGCCAATTTGGCTCAGTAGTTAGAGCCTTAGCCTGCAGACCAAAGGGTCCCGAGTTCAATTCCCAGTCAAGGGCAGGTACCTTGGTTGCAGGTTCAATCCCTGGCCCAGGTCAGGGAGTGTAGTGTGCAGGAGGCAACCAATAGATATGTCTCTTTCACATCAATGTTTTTCTTTCTCTCTCTCTCTGTCTCTCTCCTTAACCCTCTATCCCTCTCACCTTCTCTAAAAATCAATGGAAAATATATCCTCAGGAGAGGATTAACAAAACCAAACCATATTATTGAGTTAGCCCTGGCTGGTGTGGTTCAGTTGGTAGAGCATCCTCCTGTGCACCAAAAGGTCACTGGTTTAATTCCCAATCAAGGCTCATGCCCAGGTTTCAGGCTCAATCCCCGGTAGGGGGTGTGCAGGAGGTAGCTGATTAATGTTTCTCTCTCACATCCGTTTCTGTCTCCTCCACCCTCTCCCTTCCTCTCTCTAAAAATCTTTTAAAAATATGATTGAGCTAGACAGGTACAGTGACTGCACAATTTTAGATTTTTCAGCTCTAACTTCTCTGCCTCTTTTTATATCACAAGTTACTATGATTGTAATGAAAAAAATTGTCTGTGTCTAAGACATAATATATTATTTTGACCAAGTATTTTCTAACTGGCAAACTTAGGCAAAATTATTAAATATATATCACTATTTTGAGATCAAGAAAATTTTAATATTTTTAGTAGAGTATTGAGAAGGGGTGATCTCTATCCTATTTAGATAGTCTATATTTCCTGTCAGTGTTCTCATTTGGGGGCAAAAGAATGTAAATTTTTTTTTATTTGTTTGGACTTAGCAGTTTAAAAGGGTTGTTCATCCCTAGAAATTAGGTGAAAATGAGGAGCCTCGTAGAGTTTGAGGTGCCCAGCCTGCCGAGTGCAGGGTGCCTGACCCTTCCTAGTACCTGGGTAAGCAGCCAATTGGCAAACACGCATTTGAAGTAAGTTAATGGAGACACCACAATGATGGCCAGTTGCTTCTAGATGCAGGTATGTTTTCAGGTACGGTGGCCACATTCAATACCTTAGAAGATCCGTTCTGCAAAGCAATTTGATAAGATACTTTAGCTTGTTCTAGTTTCACAAGATCTGGCTAGGAAGGGTGAATTTCCCAGAAAATTATTCCTAAGTAGACTATTACTAAGTGGATTTACCTTAAACAGTTCAATAATTCAAAAACTATTTCTTTGGTGCTCAGATGAAGAAAATTCTTCCAATCACTTCATCATATTTTCTGACAGTTGATATTTCTCCCCCAGCCCCCTCACGAGTAATAGGAACAATTTTTAGTTGTCTAGGTTTTCACATCCCCTCCCTCCTAGCATTGTGGTAATTATACATTTTTTATATATTTTCATCTTACTACAAAGGTAATTTGTGTTTGTACTAGAAAACCTGAAAACTGTAGAAACGTTTTCACGTGAAAACAAGCACTACCCATAACCTGCAAAGTCCTGAAATAACTCAACATTTTGGTATTTCTTATTCTGGTGTTCTTTTTATGCAGACTTAAAAAAATAATAATAAGTGCGCTCATACAATATGTTTAGGTTTATATTACTATTTTGACACTATTACTTTACTCATTTGCAATTCTACTACTCTGTGTGTCTATTTTTCTTAGTGGTGTGGCTGACTTCCAGAGGTGGGAAGTATTTTCATTTCTCTGAGTCCAGAACACAGTAGAGTGCTAGCCAATAACTGAAATTAATGAGTGAATAACGACCTCTTGTTGTGCAGTAAACACTAGGTGAGATGTGGGGTTAACGAGGCGTAGAGTCTGGTGCAGCAGAGCTCAGTCTGGCTGGAAAGACAGGCCTGCTTGCAGACTGTGCTAGTAGTCTAGGGTGGGTGGAGCTGTGGCCACAGGCAAGCTCCGGGGTGAGGGCAGGGGCACTTCCCTTGGCTGTGTGGTCACCGCAGGCCGAAAAGGATTCTGGGAATATTGGGGAATGGTGTATGTTGGCTAGCCTGTCAGAAAAAGGGGTTGCCAAGGTTTTACAGATAGTTCTTATAGTTTGTGTAAAATTAAGAGAACTCAATGCTTGGTAAAAAAAAGACCTGACCTGGAGAAGTTATTTGAGAATCCCTGGAGTTGCCAATAACTTTGCATTTGGGTTATACTAGGATGCAAAGAAGATTTTTGTAGGTAGGGATTCTTTTGCGTAATTCTAGCTCCCCCATTCTAACCACATTCGTTAGCTGGACAGGCTGGAGGAGGGAGAGTGGATTGTCTTCTCTCCTCTTGCTTACCCTCTCCTGCTGGCTGTATTCCACGTGGCTGGGAGACAAATGGCGAACAATAAGAAACTTTGATGGAATAATTTTATATAATATTAAATTGTCTAGAAACTCCATTCTCCTTTATGTAGCATAGGTTTTTCTAATTAGTGTGTAGATCTATAATTTGTGAAGCAAAATTTATACCTCAGTAGTCCAGCGACACCTGAGAAGATACTTGGAACCATTCTCTGTCTATTGAGAGATATTATTAGTTCAGGAGAAAAAAATTAATCTTCACTTTGGGATTATGTTCATTTAGTAATTGAGAATGTTTAAAGATGAAAAAAAAAAGTGAAACCAAAATATTATATGGTTATACCAACCTTTATTCTGATAATACATAAAACTTGGAGATAAACAACCTAGTACCTTTTCTGAAAATTACCTCTTTCAATAGTAAATCAATATGCAGAACTAAAAAGCATAACTTATCAGGATGGATATTACTTTATAATTTTAATATTATGTTCTAAATTAAGACAGACATCTGCTCTCATTTTTCTTCTTTATAGGGTTTGTGTCTTATTTTAATGGGTCGAGAACAAGCTCATTTAAGACCTTTGCTCTTAAGGCTTATTTTTCCTTCTTTCCCCATTTTATGTGCTTGGCAGTGGAACTGAGTTGGTACTTTTTAGGACCTGTCAGAGGAAATACTGAGAGAGAAAGGTCTCATCATTCAGTGTGGTTACCCATTAATAGCTCTCATGAAAGAGGTTTGGTGGAGAATGAGATAGAAGCTATTGCATGGAAAGATGTATTGGATTATATATGGATTTTATTTCATTACGCTAGTCCTTATGCTCATTTCCAAGACTCATTTAAAAATTGAGTGCACTGTTTATTCAGCCCAAAGAGAGTATTCTACAAGGAGAGCTGGCCGAGGGATAGACTGATAGGCTATTTATAAAACATATTCCAATCAAAATCTTAGAAAGATAGCTTTTAAAATTGGTCTCCCAATTATGTGGTGAATGTCCTAACAGGTTTCGATTATGTGTTTATATTGGGATAAAATTTATCACATATAATCCATACGTTGACAAGATGAGGTCAAGGTATCAGGAGTTATAGTGCAACCTCAGACTCCTAACCTGAAAGAGTATTTTGGCAGTGTTTGCGGAAGCTTTTCTCTTTTCTTTTTTTCCCCTGTAACCATGGTTTCCATATATTTTAAATAAACTTCTCTCCTTTTTTTTTTTTTTCCCAGTGGCAAAAATAGGATGTTTGAAGTCATTGGAGAAACGCTGGAGCATGACTTCCCGAGCTGGATGGCGAAGATCCTGAGGCAGCTTTCTAACCCTGGACTGGTCATCGCTGTGATTTTGGTTATGGTGTATGTGCTTTCTCTCCCCACGGAGAGAGCCTCCGTCGTGTTCCCGGCTCCTCTGCGGTTTCAGCTTTCTCGGCCTCTTCCCCTCTCCCCGGGCTGTGCTATAACCTAACCAAATTCAGTGCTGATTTACGTGGTGGTGAGAGGCTTAAATTTATGAGCCATATTCTGACCTTCTTGGACATGATTCACAGCTACCTGCATCTGTCTTTGCCTGACTAGGATTAAAAGATTTGTTCCCAAGTAACCAAAATAATTATCGGTGAACAGCGAAAGCCAGGGAAATGCAAATGCTAAATGTTAGATCGAATCAGCACATTGAGCTTCCCTGCCTCCTGGCCCCCACCTCGTGTTCCATAAAGCAGATGGCTGTGAACACACTCAAATGATGAACCTCTAAATTAATGCTCCCCTTGGGAATATATTTCCGAATCAGGGCTTAAGGAATCTTTAAAAAGCAACCCGTACCCAGGAGGCCATCAGTAACTGTGTGTCCATAGGAATAGAATCAGAGGACAAGAGGAATCTTGGAAAGGTCACTCCCTTCAAAGTCAGAGGTGATACTTCCAGGAGAATTTGGGAGGGGCCTTTTGTTCTCATACTCCTCTCACTGGCTTCTGACTCTTGGCCACCACAGATAAACTTACATTCTCAGTAAAAATATATGCTTGACTCTGGCCGGGGTTAGAACAGTGGCAAAAATAAGATGTTAGTGGTTAGAGCATCGGCCCTCGAACCAAAAGGTCACAGGTTCAATTCCTGGTCAAGGGCAAGTACCTGAGTTGCAGGTTAGATCCTTGGCCCCATTTGGATTGCATGCGGGAGAGGGTGAGGATTAACAATGACAAAAAATATGTATCTATATATCTATCCATATCCATATCTATATCCATATCCGCATCCGCATCCGCATCCGCATCTGCATCTGCATCTGCATCTACATCTGCATCTACATCTATATCTACATCTACATCTACATCTACTTGCTGTGGAAGAGCCAAGGGAAGTGCCCTAGGCCTCCTTTTTATTGCTCAAGGCCCTCCTAAACAGAAAGTCTGGAACTACCCTGCTTTCAGTCAAGGGGGGCAAGTATGAAACCATCCTCAGGGACACTAGGAACAAAGCTGACACCAGGGTCAGATTTTTTCGATCAAAGGAAAACTAGGAAATCATAGTGAGAGAACTCCCAATGGTTTGAAGTAAATGAGCTGTGTTTTGTTACCCTGTCTCTGCGATGGTCATCCCCATCAGCGAAGGCAGGCGTTAGATTCTTCAACTGTATACATTAAGAAACTGGCGTAGAAGAGTGAGGTGATTTTTGTTGTAACCCAGGAGATCGACCACACTCAGACTCCATTTTTCAGTTTTTGGGGATGTTTTATTACCTGCGCAGGGACTGCAGCCAACCTACACAGAGGAGAACTGCCGCCCCGAGCTCAGGGGGAGCGTTGCTTATATAGGGCAGGGGTCATTCAAGAGTTTAGCAGAGCAAGCAAGCTGCTTGTACAGAAGCGGAGGCAGTTAGCGATAAGCAGGAGGGAACGGAGGGGGGAGGGAGCTGGGGCGAAAGGGAACTGGGTGAACTGGGTCAGCATACATCTGTCCTGCTATTCATCCCATTATCCAAGTTTTAAAAACTAACAAATTCGAGACAGATATCAGCGGTCAGTCAGATGCAATACACACATGTTGAACAGTTACAGTTTTATGGGGTAAAGGGAGCTTCAGTTTCTCCCTATCAGTTTCTTCACAGAGCATGCAGGACACTCTGGCCTTGGGGCCGTTTGTGTCCTCCCTTTTCCTGGAGGATGTTGCTTTTCAAATTCCCAGTGAAGGTCAAACTCTAGTTAATTTTTATGGGGCTAAAGCCCTCTATAACATTCCCCATTGTTCGTCTTGCTGTCTCTGAGGTTGTTAATTAGGGCAGCTTAAAGACAAGTTGGATTCTAAGGACAGTGAGCTACAACAATTTTCCCTAGGTGAGGCTAGAGCAGAATAGTAATAGTAGGACTTGGACAGTAAATCCAGCATTCACCCCTTTACACCATGATGGCTTCTTTGAGGGAGAGCTAATAGCCTGTGGGGGTAATGAAACAGTGAAACAGATTGCTATTTGTTTTCCAGAGACTAATGTTTTTCAGGTGCAATTGGGCTCAACGTGTTTCATTTCAATTTGATACCTAAAATTTTCCTGCAAAATCCCATTCTAAGTTTTAAGAAAGTAAGATACTATAGTTTAGATTATTTTTTTTAATTCTTACCACATGATTACTATTATTACATGTTAGAACTTTGATCATGGGGTGCTGTTTAGGACTTGACAGGAATCTCTGGTGCCGATGTGTCAGAAAACGACAAGCTGGGGGCAGCATGTTTCACCAGATGGCCGTGAAGCAATTTTTCCTTCTCCGTGTTTTTATGATATAGTGGCTGTTGAGAGCATAAGTATCCTGCGGCTTTTAAAAGTTCAAGCCCTTTTGTGGTATAAATGAGATCTTGTTTTAAAGCACACTCAACAAAATTTAATGTCAGATTTTATGACTATATTCTGAACTAGTTGAGAGATTTATTTTTAAGCAAAGTAGCAACATTGTTCCAATGCCACTAATTGAATATTGATTGAATAAGCTGTTTTGGGAGTGTTGAAAAGGAACCGACACTGTCTTTGTTCGGGCACTCTCCATATAGTGACTCATTTAATTTGCACAATTACCTTAATAAACTGGCCTCACTGATCGATCATATTATTGATAGCACGTGACGATCCTCCCCAAATCTAATGGCTAATAAGTGAATTCAAACCCATGTCTTATTTCCCATCTCTTACCACCACCACCCCTCTGCCCGCAAACACATACCCTCATTTGCAGCACCAAACACTGCGTTCAGGATGAGCGGGCATGTTCAGAAGGGCTGAAAGCACTTGTCACGGATGGTCTACACCCAGGTGGGCACACTTTTTCCTAAAGGGCCAGATATTTTAGGCTTTGTGGACCAAGAGGTAAAATTGAGGATATTATGTAAATTGTTATGTAACCATTAAAAATGTGAAAATCATTCTTAGCTCACGGGCCGTATGACACAGGCCAGGAGTCAGATTTGCCCTGGGGACTATCAGTTGCCGACCATGGATAGCAACTAGGTCTAGACGAGGAAAGTAGGCAGGATAGTACTGCAAGGTAAATGTTAGTTCCGAGGTTCTAATTTAAAAGCCAAATTTCAGTTTGTTGCTGATTTTATTTTTCAAATTCTGAGGTCTCATGTTCCACTTTATGGGACCCCCAACAACTGGCTTAGCTTTTTATTACCTTTAATTAGAGAATGTTACATGTTACAAGCATTTTGAATTTCCCCAGTGGGTCATATTAAATCAGCGTAGGTGGTTTTGAGTGACTGAAGAGAGCTTAAGTTAGTTCTCTGCAGGCAGTTTGATTCCTTTGGAGACTGAAAACAAAGATTTATAATGAATGCACACTTAAGGTACATCACCAGACAGAAAAAAAGTGAAGAATAAACAGAGAATCCCAGAACTGCAAATGACTTGTGAGGTCTCTTATGTTTTCCCTTCAATGCTGGGCACTTTTCTAAGACAATCTTTATACTACTATAACACACACACACACACACACACACACACACATTTATTGAGCACCTACTTCATGCCAGATATTGTGTCTGATGCTTTCATGTATGTAATTCCATCAAACTCCTGCCACTCACATAAGAGATAAACAAAGTCAGCTAAACCATATCAATAATTGTGCTGCCAGCACCAGCGGCTCATAAAGGATAGACTCTGGCATGTCGGCGAGTAGGGGAAATGTGTTCAGTGTCCAGTTATTTACAACAAAGAGGAATGCCAGTTACCTTTTTTATTTCTTTCTTTTTTTTTTTTTACTGCATTATTTCTTTCTTTGTTTATTTGTTTTGCTTTAAGTGAAGATAAGCATACTGGTTTTTGCAGCAATACTTGGCTGGAATTTGCTCTTTCTAGAAATGTAAATGTCACGTAAAAGCCAAGAGTACTCCTTTATAAAGCGTTTTCTTTTTTGAAGGAGGGAGACATGCAAACAATACATCCCATGGAAAAAAAATCCACGTTAATTAACTGTGACAGGAGGATATTCTTAGTTGTAAACGCCAAAGGAAGGGATCGAAGGCACAAAGTCAGTTTCTTTTTTAGTCCACATATTCCTAAACTTCAGTAGATATTCCAGTCCCTGGGAGGCCATTGACATCAGTTTAAAATGTTACTTCAATTATAATTTAAATTGATGGTAATGCATTTCCAAGAAGCAGCTAAAATTAGGCAGTAGGGCACAGTGAACAGCCCCGGCTGTGGAGGGGAAAAGCGAGGTGCAGCTGCCCGGGTCCTTCCAGTCACCGCTGGCTGAGTGCGCCTCTTCCCCTCTTCCCCTCGCTCAGTCTTTCGTCTGCAAAATACAAGGTTTAGAGTAGAAAATGCCTTCAAGTCCACTCTAGTGCCTCCATTCAATGACATAATGTACATGTAAGAGGAATTCTGAGGAACTGAAAAATACCCCCAATTTTATTTTTTTAAATTTTAGTTTGACCATCTATTATCTCAATGCTACTGCAAAGGGCCAAAAGGCAGCAAACCTGGATCTACAGAAGAAGATGAAACAGGTAGGTTACCATGTAGTTCTCAGAATGATTACCTTTATTCAAGTGGAAAACCCCAGAAAATCTCACTCTCTCCCTCCCTCCTTTTCTCACCGTGCAGCAAGCTCTGGAGAACAAGCTGCGAAACAAGAAAATGGCAGCTGCGCGAGCAGGTTCGAGATAAGTTTATGTTGCGATTCCCCCCTACAAACAGTATGATCCTCCTTTTCTCTTTGTCCTTTAAATGGGGGCATTTGCTTCGGAGTGGCATTATTACCCGTAAGCAAATCATTCCACCTCCCTACTGTTCGCCTTTTCAGGCTTCTCAGACATCTTATCCAGGGGTTTGGTTGTCTTCCCGGTGGGGAAAGAACGCAGAGAGGAAAATCCAGGAGTGTAAACTGAGCAGCAGTGATAAAAATGTGATCTTGCAAAATGACAGAGGATGGAAAAAAAACCCCAACTATATAGCCATATACAAACAGCAGATACAAATCCGGACTCTCTCCTGCCCATTTGGACCATTTTTATACCTAGAAGGATACAGTGGGAAGACCCCAGGGGGGTCCTCTGAGCTCACCAGCATACGTGGTCAAAGCCTTTTCTGATTCATTAACCTTCCTTTCTTTTTAATCTTGTTAACCTTTAAAATATTAGAAGAAAGCACATTTCTACTTGTCAAGGTGGCTCTAGTTTGTATTCCACATGGAAAAGTGATGCCTAAGAAATTCAGTGAAAATGTTTTCAGCTTTTCCCTCCTGACTAACTCCTAATTCCTTTCCCCTCCTACCTAACTCCTAAGTTGGTTTAAGTAGAAAAACAGACATGTATCAGTCCACACAGATGAACAGGGGAGTGGTGTATGTGGCTTCGGGCCACGCTGTGCCCTAGGTTCAGAAGCCGTCAGGGCTGCGCTGCATTTTCCTGTGGTTCTGGGAACAGCGCTGCCCGCCCATTGGCTGACCTCTGTGGCCTCGGAATGACTGCAGCTGTATCCTTACCTTACCTTTGTTTTAGATTTATTATTTTTTGGTTACTAATCTACTTGTTTCTTAAATGCATTAACATTTTTCAACTTTATTGAGGTATAATTCACAAATGAAGTTGTAATGCATTTAAAGCGTGCATGTGACGATTTGATGAGCATGCGCACTATGAAAGGATTTCCACCATCGACTGAATTGACACCTCCATCACCTCACATATTTACCTTTTTATTTATTTATTTATTTATTTATTTATTTGGTGAAAACACTTAAGTGTTTTAGTGACTTTTAATGAAACAATACAGTATCATTATACCATGTTATATATTACAGCTTCAGACCTTATTCGTCTTATAACTGAAAATGTGCATCTTTTCACCGCCTGTCCCTCTTCCCCCCACTCCCATGCTGCTGACAACCCGTCTGCTCTGTTCCTCCGAGGTCACGTTTGTAGCTGTTGTTAGATTCCACCATGCGGAGCTTGTCTTTCTTTGACTGGCTTATGTCACTTAGTATAATGCTCCCCCATTTTATCTGTATTGTCACAAATGGCAGAATTTCCTTCTTTTATAGGCTGAATAGTATTTCAGTGTGTGTGTGTGTGTGTGTGTGTATACACACGCGGGGGGGCAAAAGTAGGTTTATAGTTGTGAATACACAAAACAAAATTTATTTTTGTATTATGATTTATTAATTAATTTTTGTATTATTTATTTGTATTTCTACTGTATGTAAACATAGATATCACATTTTTAAAACCCATTTATCCATAGATGGACACTTAGATAGTTTCCGTACCTTGGCTATTGTGAATAATACTGCAGTGAATGTGGGAATACAGATTCGTGATTTCATTTTCTTTGGATATATATCCAGAAGTGAGATTGATGGATCATATGATAGTTCTATTTTTAATTTCTTGAGGAATCTCCATGCTGTTTTCCTTAGTGGCTGCACCAGTTTACATTTCCACCAACCAGACACAAAGTCTTCCCTTTTCTTGGCATCCTCATCAGCATTCATCTCTTGCCTTTTTGATAATAGACATTTTAACAGGTATTAAGTGGTATCTTACTGTGATTTTGATGTTCATTTTCATGATGATTAATGGTGTTGAGCACCTTTTGACATACCTTTTGGCCATTTGTATGTCTTCTTTGGAAAAATGACTGTTCAGGTCCTTTGTCCATTGTTATTTATTTTTTTAATTCTCACCCAAGGATGCTTTTTATTAATTTTTAGAGAGAGAGGAAGGAAGAGAGTGAGAGGAAGAACATTGATGGGAGAGAGAAACATCAATTGGTTGCCTCCCATACACACCCCTACTGGGGATTGAACCCCAAACCTAGGTATGTATCCTGACTGGGGGTCAAATCTATAACCTTTTGGTCTATGGAATGACACTCCAATCAATTGAGCCACGTGGCCAGGGCCCTTTGCCCATTTTAAACTGGGTTATTTGGGTTTTTTACTATTGAATTGTATGAGTTTCTTGTATATTTTGGGTTTACAACCCCTTATCAGATATATGACTAGCAGATATTTTCTTCCATTCTGTAAGTTGCCTTTGCTGTGTGGAAGCTTTTTAGTTTAATGTAGTTCTATTTTTTTATTTTTGCTTTTGGTGTCAAATCCAAAAAATCATTGCCAAGTCCAATGTCAAATAGCTTTTTCTCTATGATTTGTTCTGAGATCTGTAAAGTTTGAAATATTACATTTAAATCTTTGATCATTTTTATTTTATTTGGTGTATAGTATATTGGTTCAGTTATATTAATTTTCATGTGGATATCCAGTTTTTTTTAACACCATTTATTGAAGAGATTACCCATTCTCTATTTTATATTCTTGCTGCCTTGTCAAAAAATAATTAACCAGCCCTGGATGGTTTGGCTCAGCAGTTAGAGCATCGGCCGCCCACAGACTGGAGAGTCCTGGGTTCAGTTCCCGCTAAGGGCATGTACCTCAGTTGCAGTTTGTCCCTAGCCCCAGTTTGGGTTGTGTGGGTGGCAACTACTCGATGTGTCTCTATCGCGTCAATGTTTCTTCTCTCTCTCTCTTCCTCCTGCTCTCCCTCCCACTCTATCTGAAGATAAATGCAAAAATGTCCTTGGATGAGGATAAAATATAATTAATTAACCATACATATGTGTATTTATATCTGGGTGCTCTCTTCTGTTCCATTAATATTTGTGTCTGTTTTTATGTTAATGCCATACTGTTTTAATTACTATAGCATTGTAATATAGTTTGAGATTAGGAAGTATGATGCCTCAAGCTGTGTTCTTTCTCAAAATTGTTTTGGCTTTTTGGAGTCTTTTAGTGATTCCATACAAACTTTAGAATTTCTTTTATTTTCTTCTTCTTTTTTTTTTTTGGTGAAAAATGCCATTAAAATTTTGATAGAAACTGCACTGAATTTGTAGATTGCTTTGGGCAGCATAGACATTTTCATGATGTTAACTGTTCATTAACATAGAATATCTATTTATTTACGTCTCCTTTAATTTTTTTAATTAATGTCTTATAGTTTTTCAATGTATAGATATTTCACCTCCTTGGTTAAATTTATTCCTAAGCATTTTATTATTTGTGGTGCTATTGGAAATGGACTTGTTTTTTTTAATTTCTCTATTTCTGATCATTTGTTGTAGTATATAAACGTGCAAGTGATTATTATATACTGATTTTGTATACTGCAACTTTATAGAATTCATTTATTAGTTCCAACAGTGTTTTGATGGAGTCTTTAGGGTTTTCTGTATATGATATATGTCATTTGCAAACGGAGACAATTTTACTTTTTCCTTTCTGATTTCTATGCCTTTTATTTATTTTTCTATCTTAATTGCTCTGGCTAGAAATTCCAGTACTATGTTGACTAAAAGAGGTGAGAGTGAGGATCCTTATCTTATTCCTGATCTTAGGGAAAAAGCTTTCAAGTTTTCACCATCGACTATGATGTTAGCAGTGGATTTGTCATATGTGGTTTTATTATGTTGAAGTATGTTCCTTCTATAACCAATTTATTGAGAGTTTTTGTCATGAAAGGATGTTGAACACTTTTTCTGCATCTATTGATGTCATTATATAATTTTATCCATTATTTTGTTAATGTGGTTTATTACAATTATTGATTTGTTGAGCCATCCTTGCATCATAGGAATAAATCCCACATGATCATGGTACATGATCCTTTTAATGTACTGCTGAACTTAGTTTGCTAATATTTTGTTAAGGATTCTTACATCTATGTTCATTAAGGATATTGGTAATTTTTTTTCTTGTAGAGTCCTTGTCTGGCTTTGTTATCAGGGTAATGCTGGCCTTAGAAAATGAGTTTGGAAGGTTAGCCTCCTTTTTAATTTTTTGGAAGAGTTTGAGAAGGATTGGTATTAAGTTTTCTTTATTTTGTAGAACTCATCAGTGAAGCCATCTGGTCCTGGACTTTTCTTTGTTGGGAGGGTTTTCATTACTGATTGAATCTCCTTATTAGTAATTGATGTGTTTAGATTTTCTATTACTTTATGATTCAGTCTTGCTAAGTTGTATGAGTCTAGGAATTTATTAATTTTTCTACGTTATCTTATTTGCTGGTATATGATTTATAATAGTTTATTATGATCATTGATATTTCTGTGTTATCAATTGCAATGTTTCCTCTTCATTTTAAAATTTTATTTATTAGTCTTCTCTCTTTGGCTCTTCGTCTAGCTAAAGGTTTGTCAATTTTGTTTATATTTTCAAAAAAAAAACAGCTCTTGATTTTATTGATCTTTTCTATCGTCTTTTAAGTCTTTTTTTTTTTTTTTTTTTACCATGTGTGTGTATGTGTATGTGTATGTGTGTATCTGTGTGTGTGTGAGAGAGAGAGACAGAATGTGTGGTTGGCATTTCACAACTCTCTTTACTGTTATTTTATTTATTTATGAGGAGGCATTTAGTCTTTATTTCCCATCTGTTTTTTCATTTCCTTCCTTCTGCTAACTTTGGGCTTAGATTGTTCTTCTATTTCCTAGTTCCTTTAGGCGTGAAGTTAGATTGCTTATTTGAGATCTTTCTTTTTTCATAATGTGTTTATCATTATAAATTCCTTCTTAGAACTGCTTTTGCTACATTCACAAGTTTTAGTATGTTGTGTTTCCATTTTCATTTGTCTCAAGGTAGTTTTTATTTTCCTTTAATGTCTTCTTTTACCCTTTGGTTGTTCAGGAGCATGTTGTTTAGTCTCCACATATTTGTGAATTTTCTGGTTTTCCTCTTGTAATTGATTTCAAGTTTCATAATATTATGTTTGGAAAAGATGCTTGATATAATTTCAATCTTCTTAAATTATTAAGACTTATTTTGTGGCCTAATATATGAATTCTCCTGGAGAATGTTTCATGTGTGTTTGAGAAGATTGTGCATTATGCTGTTGAATGAAATGTTCTATGTATGTATGTTAAATCAATCTCATTTAATGTGGAGTTTAAGTTCAATGTTTCTTATTGATTTTCCGTCTGGATGATCTATCCATTGTCAAAAATGAGATATTGAAATCCCCTGCTCTTATTGTATTATTGTCTATTTCTCCCTTCAGATGTTAATATTTGCTTCATATATTTATATATACATATTTATATCTTTATAAATATATAAATATGTATATATAAATATTTATACATAAATATATAATTTATATTTATGTATAAATATATAATTTATATTTATGTATAAATATTTATATATAAATATATAAATTTATATATAAATATATATCAGGTATATAAAAATTTACAATTACTATGTCTACTTGATTAATTGTTCCCTATCATTATATAATGATCTTCTTTGTCTCATTACAGTTTTTGGCTTAAAATATATTTTGTCTGATATAACTATGGCTACCTTGCTTTTAGTTTTCATTTGCATAGAATATCTTTTACCATACCTTCACTTTCAGTCTATGTGTATCCTTAAAGCTGAAGTGAGTCTCTTATAGTCATCAAATAGTCATCAAATAGTTAGAAGCAGGTATGTCACACATATCCGCATTGCTTCTGTATTTGCTCTAGACTGTGACTATAACAATATTATCCAGTTAGGAACAGCAAATACCATATAATTTCATTTATATGTGGAATCTAAAGAACAAAATAAATGAACAAACAAAATAGAAATGAACTCATAGACACAGAGAAACTGATGATTGCCAGAGGGGAATGGGATTGGGGGGCTAGGTGAAGAAGGTGAGTAGGATTAAGAAGTACAAATTGGTAGTTACAAAATAGTCATGGGGATATAAAGTGCAGCATACAGAATATAGTCAATAATATTGTAACAACTATGTATAGTGCCAGAAGGGTACTGGACATATAGAGTGGAACACTTTGTAAAATATATGATTATCTAACCACTATGCTGTACACCTGAACCTAATACAAAATAATACTGGATGTCAATTGTAACTGAAAAATAAAATAAAATTACACTCTTGACATCCAGCAAAATAAACAAAACATTATGCAATTCGTTTTTAGAATGGTGAGTGAAAAGTTCTGATTTCTTGATCTGAATTCTAGTTAAAGCTTATTGCTATTTTTATTATTTTAAATAATGATATACTGCTATAGCATGATATTTTCCCATAATTTGTCCTTACAATTATATATAACCTTTGTGAAGGCAGAATCTCTATCTTACTTATAGTTGTTAACTTAGGAGATAATGCAGAACTTTATACATAACAGTCACTCAACAAATATCTACTAAATATCTACTGAAAAAATGATGTTTTTTTAAATGAAGAATTCTTTTATTGGAAAAATTTGAAAGGCATAAATTTCTATATTAACTACATAAGCAGTAATGAATAAATGTTACAAGTAGAGAATAGCTTTCACTCTCCTGTCTTTAGAATTTGTGAGGATTTTTTAAAACTAAGAAATAAAGAAATATTTTGAATATAAAAACTCAATGTGCAGCACATTTGGAAGATATGGATGTCAGGGTACCTCACTCAGAATCATTCAGCATACTGAAAGTAAAATGTTTATTTTTCTTTATGGTCTCTTGCTTTTGTTATTAATGAATTTACTTATTTTGAACAGCTGCAGCTGCTGGTGGCCAGTAACTTCTTCCATGGATATATTGGGGACCCAGAAGTCCTCCTGGCCTTGCTGTTGAAAAGCAGTGACTTCTGTGAAGGCCCAGAGAACAGGCACTGTGGAGTTGCTGTTCCCGTTTTAACTGGTGGATTATCAAAGTCGGACTGGCCAGTAAGGCATCACCAGGCCTCATTCGACAAGAAGGATCTCCAATAGTCCGAACTGAGGACTTGCTCCTGTACTGCCATTTTCTCCCCTTACCCATCTCCTTGACATCTTTTCTCTAACCAGCTGAGTTGAAAAGAGGGTGTGATTCAGCAATATAGAAACCTTTTGCTCATTATAGGACTTTCATTTTATACATTTCTTCTGCCTTCGTTTTCTAGGCCTGGGTGCAGGACTACTTTACCCTCTTTTTCCAAGTTTAGAAATATCTTTATAAAGTATTCATTTTAAGCATTCATTAACTAGCCTTTTGAAACCAACACCCTGCTTTCTCTTTTCTTCTACCAGTCTCCCCACCTATGACCCACACAAATATACACCTAAGGCCTTTTCATTTGCTGCTGGATTTAATACGAAATAAAATGGGTGTTTTAAAAGAAATATGCTAAGTGGATTATGGACCAGATCAGCGTAAGGTTGAGGAGGTACATAGAACTTAGACAACCCAACTCTTTATTAGTTGTTTAAAAAACACACCACAAGTGATTGCTATTTCATCACGGTCTGATCATTTGACCTCCAAAGGTTGTATCTCTTGAGTTTAGATTCTCATCTTGTAAAATTTTTCTTTGCTTTTTGTTAAAGTTAGGAAAACACACACTTTGGGTGGGGGGTCAATTTATGGATGTGCTTAAGCATGATTATTTATTTAAAGTTTAAATTGACTTTGAATAGTAACAATCAATGCCCTTAGTCAGCCTTGTGTGACTCCAATTGCATCTCCTAACTCATGTCCTTTTCCAGAGGTAAGCCAATTTGCCTGCCATTCCCTGCAGTTGACTTGCTGGTTTTTATTACCCTGCCTTTGAATTTCTCCTTCTTTTCTATTTTATACCGGCCATAGAATGATTACCCCGTTCCTCTACCAATCCATGTGCTCATCACTTCCATCATACCAAGTTCAAGGCTTACTTCCTCTGGTCAAATCATCCAGACCAGCCTTTATTCTCAATTGTTTCACTCCCTTGATAGTCTTTATTGGGACTCTTGTATCTTTAATTCAGAGTTTATTAAGGTATTGACTTTCCTGTGAATTGTAATGTTTCTTTATTGTTTCTTGTGTGCATGGATTATCTCTCCTATCCATATTGTAAATTTCCTATGAGCAGGGATCTAACTCTTTTGTATGCCTAGTATAGTGCTGTGCACAGGTAGGCACTGAATAAATGCTTGTTAATTAAATTGAATCAATTTAACTTACAGCAGTTGCATTGTGAAACAAAACTTCTGTTATCTGCATGAAAACATTACCATGATGTAAGAAATGAAATTATCTGTTGACATGCTGACTTTATTGTCTCATTAGATTATAATGAAGATGATTAAATAAAGCTAGTGCTTATTTCTACTTGGATCATTTTTGCACTGTGTAGTAATAAGATTAGAGAATTGGTTTATATGTGTTGCCAAATTTACAATGTGAATTACACTTCCTTGATCGACTGTATAAGGAAGATGATGAGAAATGACAAACTGTCCCCCAAGGGTGTCATCTCCTAAGGGCAATGTACTTATTGAACAAATGCTCATGGTATACATACATTTCAATCTTTCTATAAATTAAAAAATATGTTTGATGTTTATTGCACCTAAATACCCACCTGATTTATGTTAAGCATTTTTTAAGAAAATTGACTCTTTTAGTTTCCAGACAGCTGTTGAAAATGTTTCCACACTACTACATGGAGAAGTATCTAAAACAGTGAATTCCACTTCCAAAGCTGTTTTACAACTATTCAGAAACTAGCCTTCTGAAAGGACTCTGATCACCATGGCTTATTTCAGTATCATTATTTCCATGTCTAATGATCAAAGTTACAGGGAAAATTTAGAGGGAACACAAACAAACCAGACTACACCTTTCATTCTTTGAAAGGAGTAAAAAATAAATTCTGACAAATATATGCAATAACTAAATTGACTTACCTGAGAGTTTTACCATTCATTTGAAAAACTATCGTTTAACACATTCTTTGAATTATCTTCTTTGACTTCTGAGAACACACAACTTTAACCATATTGAAGGGTTTGTATTAAATAAACTTCAACCTGAACTATGTTTTCTTATCCTGATGGATCCCTACAAATACCAGAACCGGAGTCCATACTGACCAGGTCGGGAATTGTACTGGTGACTCAAGTCTTGTTATATGCTGAGGTATGGTTCCCATAGCTGCCTCAGAGGTACAACCTTTGCTATCTTAATTCCTCAGTAGAAGAGTTGATGAGAAGAGATTTTGCATCCGTTTCCCTGCCTAGCGCTCCAATGCCCTTTGTGAACTGGAGCTGTGCCTTTAACTCAGTCACCTTGGATGCAACTTGGACTATGTCACTGTTTCACCAGCCCCTTCCAAAGGGCATGTGTGGATTGTGGGGGCATGGGCTGGTAGCAAACACTGGGACCATACTGGGTGCACCATCTACAGGAACTACAATGAGGCCAGTGCACCTTCATCCATTTGGTAAACATTTATCAAACACTGTATCAAACATTTATCAAACATTATATATCCCAAGTATCACCTGCTCTCTAGATTTTCGTCCATTGTTTTATCCCACCTGCCATATTGACTGCCTTGGTTTCCAGCATCTTCCAGAACAATACTAGAACTTGCAAAGCTATTTTAGAATTAAACAGAATCAATAATACCTTCCCAATTAGGGTAAGACTGTCCCTCTCTTTAAAATGATGAAAATATTGCAGTACACTATCAAATAGAAACTGGAAAAAAGATTTGCCCTCTCTTATTCTCTATTAAATGTGATTTCAAGCAAAATTCAGATATTATCCTCAGCCTTTCCAGCCATCCTCCAAAGTTAAGCTTGTTGATGGACACATAACCCTGACCTCCAAATTGGCATCACATGCTTAGTGAATGTGATACAAACGAGTTTAGCCTGAACTAGAAGACCAGGTTGTTGTGGGGAAAGCCAAGAGAGTGTTTCTGATGGGAAACCACTGACTTTTATTGATTCTCTCTTGTGTCAAAAATATTGACCTGTACAATATCTAGTCATAACTTTCTTTGCCTTGTTTGGTTTACAAAGGTGGACTAGTCTCCACAATTTATTTGTGTGGAAACATATACCAAAAGAATAAGGAAGCAGGCTTCAAAAACAAGAGCCTTAATGAGGTTGACAGGTGTTCTCAGGTTTCAATGCAGATATGCACTTGATCTTTTGCAAGAGGCATTGAGACCTGAGCATAATTAAAAATAACAATAAACAATCATCATAGCCTTTATTCACATCTTTCTGCAAGAAGAATGCCACTATATGTTGGTGACAAGAGTGCTCAAGCTCCCACACGAGAGATCATTTCCTCAAAGTTCTCTTGTAATGGATTGCCTTGGATACCTGGCCTTGGGTGGTCCAGCTGTCTATCCCAGAATGGGTCTTGTTGACGTTGTAATTATGAACAATGGAAAATGTATACATGAGATATTTTACCTCTTCTGGGAGCTTAGTATTATGTAACACATCTTAAATATTATATAACTCATCTTCATACACACCAGGAAGTGTCCATGTACATCTTATGGTTACTTTAAAATCTTGTAATAGTGGTGCATGTTCATCACAGCAAATTTAGAAAATTTTAATAGAATAAAAAAGTGAAAGGACCCCATAATCCATCACCCAGAACAACTGTTAACATTCTAGTGTTGCTGTTTTCTCAGACTCACACACATACACACACAGGCTCGATGGAATATTTTGTTATTTAACATTTTCACATATCATGAAAATTACTTCAGAACATTTTTTTTTATCCCCACCCAAGGATATTTTTCCATTTATCTTCAGATAGAGTGAGAGGGAGGGAGGGAGAGAGAAACATCGACGTGAGAGGGACACATCGACTGGTTGACTCCTGCACGACCCGACCAGGAACGAACTGCAACCGAGGTACGTGCCCTTGCCCATGACTCATTGGTCCACAGGCCAACGCTTTAATCGCTGAGCCAAATCAGCCAGGGCCTTCAGGACATTTTTTAATGGCTATACAATATTCTTTAATATGAATAGAGTATAATTAGTTGAACTATTTTACTGTTGTACATTCAGATTGAGTATTTAAAAATTAAATGTTAATTTTAAATTTGAGTCCTTCTAGAACATGTATTTGTACAAAAGCATTAATTTGTTTATATATATATACAAACAATATATATATGAAGACAGCTTTGGTCAACTTATTAATATAATTTTATTACTTTTTATACTTAAGAATGTATTTCCTAATTCAGAACAATTAGTTTTAACTGTCACTAAATTTTTCTCCAGATATTGTTTAACTTATGGCTATGAAAAAAACCAAAACCTCTTTTTAGGAACTAACTATCTTATTCTTCTTTTTAGGAATTTTAAGGTAAAGAAAAATACTTAAAATAATGTATTTTAGAAACCAAATCTCATATGTTATATTAAAAAGTATCATCTACATATGATAATCTAAAGTTCCAACCTGGAATGTTAAGATTTTTTTCCAATTTCATTTGATTTACTAAAACTTTGGTCATAATTATTGTATTTACATTTTGATTTTATTATAAAAAGCAATTGTTTAAAAATTACTTCTCCAGGTTGAAGAAGACAAGTAGCGTCCCTGATACTTTATTGGAAGCTGAGTTTCTGTGCTGTTGCTCTGGATGGGGACCTTGTTTCTCCGGTTTCCATCACTGTTCAAAAGAGAGGCCAGGATGCATGACCTTGGCCCCATATCCATCGCTGGTAGGATACCAGTCAAATTCCTTCTGGATCACTCACTTTGCATAATATATAAACTAACAGAAACGCC